TTTTCAGATACAACTTTATCTATTGAAGTGAAACTAGATTCTCTTTCTTTGTTCACTGAAAATATACTCCCCCAGTCTAACTTAAGATCAACTAACCAGTTCCTACCTAGTAATGGTGGTCCATTTCCTTCAACCACAAGAAGAGGAAGCTTAACACTTTGACCATTATAGCTTACATGAACCATACACTCTCCTATCACCGGAACATTGTCACCTGTGTATGTTGTTAGGCACTTGTGACATGGTTGTAGAGGCACTGATCCTCCTGTGACAGCGTCAAGGACCTTCTTTGTGAAGACGGTTAGAGATGCTCCCGTGTCAAGTTGGAAGATGATGCTCTTACCGTTGATATAAACTAGTACGTTGATGGGAGCATGACTTGTTGATTTCACAGAGAACAGGTTGAACTCCGGCTGCGGATCAGTTTGAGCATTTTCACTGGTAGAGTGGTTCATTGGTTGGGTTAGGCTGTCTTGGTGACAGTTAACATAGTGCTGCCTTTGGTTGCGGTACTGTCTTGACTGGCTAGATCTAGCAACAGACGAAGACTTTGCAAAGCAGGCCTTGGCAATGTGACCTTGCTTACTGCACTTATAGCAAGTTGCTGACTTGAACTTGCATCGATGAGATGCATGGGGACCGTTGCATCGACGACATGTTTGATAATTATTACTAGATTTAGATCTAGGATTTGAACTTGCAGGCTGTTTAGCATAAGTTGAACTGCTCTGATGGGGTTGGTGTTTGTTGGCTGACCTGCTGTCTACTGCATGGATCCCTGAAGGCGCTAGAGATCTGGCCGCCTCGGATGACTGCTGGAATGAAGTTGCAAGTTGTATTGCTTTTTCCAATGTTAGATCTGACTCGAGAAGCAACTTTCTTTACACCTGTCACAAACTTTTCACATAGTCTGTCAGACAGCGTGTCCCCGAATTCACAGAATTCACTTAGATGACGTAAAGCAGCAACATATTCTGATATTGATTCGTTTGGTTGACGAGTCCTACCGTCAAATCTGGCTCTACACAGGACCTTGGGTGGTTCGGGCGCATGGTGGTCTGTTAGCAGTTTGCTCAGCTCGTTAAAGCTCTTGGTAGCTGGACTAGCTGGTGCGCATAAGTCCTTTAATAGCCTAAATTGTTGAGGCCCTATGACTGTTAACTAAACAGCTCTCTTTTTGGCTTCTATCGTCACGTCGTTATCTTCAAGGTAAAAGCGTAACCTATCTAGATAATCATGAATGATTTCTTCATTCGAATTAAATTCTTTTATCTGGCCATACAGCGCCATTATCCTACGTAGCCAATATGCTCTAGCAAACTTCTTCTTAAGTAAGCATGTGCTCTTTTTAGTGGATGATTTATCCTCGTCGCCAAATGTAGTAGATTTGTACTTAGATAGATAACACTACAGACGAGGAAGCCATGTTCTATGCACACCACGTTTTATTCTCTATCGGAAACAGGAAACACATGACATGCAAGGGACATCACTCAAACATTATAAGACTAATACAAGAAGTGTGAGTTCCCTTGACTTCACAAAACTCAATATATTACAATTTAACTAAAATTTCTGCAGTGAATACATAAATCATTGTAATTTATCAGCCATGGTAAAAACGGTTAAATTTCAAAGTATCAAGGGATGCAAGCACGTACAAATCTTAGCTGTATCATGGCGTAAGCTTGTCCGGTGTTTCGCAAAGATAAAGATTTTGGGTTAATCTTGGCTCAATCTCGGTTTAACACACTGTGCTGACTGGGTAACTTTAGTACTGTTTCAGAAAGATAAACGAAATGTCACATATAGTGGCCTAAGTAAAAGATTCTCTTCCTTCTATCAAATTTTGAGTAATTTCCGATGATCGGAAGTAGTAATTTAAGCTATTTCCGATTTCTCATAACGTATATAAATTTATAAAGTACTAATAATAATCCGCACTATCAGTGGCGTAGCAAGGATCTTCTCATGGGGGGGGGTTCAATTTTTTACGTATATATATATATATATATATATATATATATATATATATATATATATATATATATATCAGTAGACTGTCTTACTAAATTTTAAATTAATTATTTGAATCATTTCCAAATTCAGAAATTTAACCTATTTCATAGCAAAGTATATCATGTGACAAAAACTACACACACATTTGCTCTAACTCATTTCGGGCGAGATATAAGTCTTAAAATCATGCTTTAAAAACGTTTATATATCATTTATACTCTTTAAAAAATAAATGCCTTTATTTTTAACTAGGCATACCGCCTAGCTTTGCTTAGGTTTTTCATAAGTATATTGAAAAACTTGAGTGATTAACTGGTGATTGGATGTTATGTGGAATGCTTTTTTTAAAAAGTTAATTTATTTATTTTAAACATTTAAAATAGTAATAATAATTTATTTGGTACTTTTACACAGCTTCAAAGACATGAACATCGATTGTTTATATATAGTAATTAAATGGAGAAAATAAAATGGCATTAAAACTATGCTAAGATAACGTGTGCATCTCGTTTTCTTTTTACTAGTTTACTGTGCTCCATCCTCAGCTGCGAAGTCAAAAGTTTACATTTTAGCCACCCTGGCAGAAACACAAACGAACGCGGGAAAAGGGTCTGTAATACTCATACTGATCTATCATTCCAAAATTTTCCTTGACACAAAATTGACCCCTGGCGATGAGCGAACGCCGCCCTTGATTTATCCGCCAGTCCGTTTGGGTGGGGGGAATTGAGACAAATAAGACTGATCTAACGATAATTTTCTCGAGGGCTGATCGAGTGATGTTTGGCTTGAGACCGTCCTTAAATTAATTAATACTTAATTCGTTCATTTTTTAATGTAATTTTTTAGCGCAATTTCCATACTTGGATTGCGATTATTAACTCGTCATTTCTAGATGGATGTGTGTCCGCAGCCTTTAAGTCGTATCTCCTCCTCAACGAAGCAATATCGAGGACTAGTTCCAAAGCAAATATGTTAAGCAAGTTCCGAGGATGAACATAGGCCAAAAAAATTCCCGGAATTCCTTCCTGAATTTCCCGGAAAAGCCAAAAAAAAAACCTCGATCAAATGCAGTTTTTGCTCCATATCTCGGCAACCAGGCCACTTAGCGACTTGAAACATTTACCAATCGATTCCTGCCATAATTTAAACCAATATTGGCGAAGAAAGTTTTCAAAAATATCCTTTCGTTCGGTCACAAATTTTTTTAAAAAATTATTTAAACTGAGCACCGTGTAGGCCTAGGATGATATTTTTAACTGAGCATCGCGTAGGCCTACTCGTTAAAATAAAACTATTTCCGTTGATATTTTCTATTACCCCCCAAACGTCCGCAAATTTTTTAAATCTCGTTAATAAATATTTTTTTCTATTTTGTTTTGAATTATTAAAACTACTTGTGTAGCATTATTTATTTGCTGAATATATGATTTATCTCGATTTAAAATTGTTATGGATAACATAAGGAAATTGCGCTTAAATTGTCACTAGACTTTTTATTAACTTGTTTTTAGTTAGGTGAGAGTTCCTAGTCTATGTCTTAGCTTTGCTTGAAATATTTCTTTTAACTCGATGTCAGAGTATTTTTAAAAATAAAGCCTGATCTTATTCATATATTCCCATATAGCCGTTGCTATTAGTCTGTGTTCGTCTTCTGATCTTTGTCTAGTCGTGTTAATTAAGTTCAGTGTGATTGCTTTATTTGTTGTGCTGTTTGATTGGTGTTTTTTTTTAAATATTTTCACAAGTGTTTGCTTTGCTTTCATACTAATATACAATCTAAATAAATGTGTTTCTCAGTTTCCTGTATATTTTGTCTACACGTTTGACATGTTATTTTAACATTTTGATTCGACTTAGTATTTCGTGAAACTAGTGTTGTATTAAAAATCAGTCTATATGCTACTTCCCTTTCTTTTGGTGTAATGCGTTTATTATGTAGGTTTCTAAATGTATCTTTAATATCTATTATATTGTGTTCCCTGGCCCAACAAATTCTCGTATATAAGGGTGTCTCTGGTTGTTTGACTAGGATGTCGAATATTTTTTGTGTGTCTTCCCCAATAATGCTTTTGTTTCCTTGGAATGTTGGTGGCGTTTCTTTATAAAAGCTGCATATGTCATTTCCCCTATAGTGTAGTGTTGTGATGTTTAATTTTAGAATGCTCTTTATGTTTAACCATATGCAATATTGTGCTAATGGATGATAATGTGGTTCTATTCTTATTCTATCCAGATGTTTTAATCGGAAGGTGTTTATTTTTAGTATGAATGTCATGTAGTCCTATACCTACATTTAATTTGTAATAAGGTTTTGTGGCTGTTTCTAATCGTATTTTTGAAAATGAACTCTCTAATGTAATGCCTACTTGTTTGTTTGTTTAATAAACGAGGTGGGTATTGTAGAGTTTGTCGCTACGAAAATTATTTTTGGATGATATATCTGTTTACTAATGCAGCTATGGCAAAGATGGTTGTATTGCAGTATTGGTATTTTTCCAGATTTATTTTATTGTTAAGTATGGTCCTAATTTCTTGGTCATCTTTTGTGGAATCGCTGGTACAGGTTATTCCATAAATTCTGATTTTGTCTGTTATTGTGATTATGTTATAGTTATCTTTACCTTTCCATTTACCTATCCGACTATCCCCATTACTTTTGATTTTTCTACGTTTATTTTGCCCACGATTCCTTTGCCAAAGTTGTAATACTATTGTTAATTAATAAATGACTGTGTGCATTGTATATGGAATGTTTTTTTTTTTTTTTTTTTTTTTTTAGTTTTTGTCAACTTTATTACCTCTGATATTGTGTATGATTTCATTGGAATTATTTGAATAAGAGAAATTTCATAGATTCAGATTTCATTGGTTTGCCAACTGCAGGCACCATTTGAAATCACATGATCAGGGTTTCTCACAAAAATGTAATTGTCTTACTCAACTTTAGAAGTGAACAAAAATAAACAGCACAATACATGTTACACCAAATATTGTTATTTGTATACTCCACTGACAATTTTAAACTGTATATACCAGAGTTGCACAGGTTAAATGTGCCAGATTGGAAGCAAGCACTCCCCATCACACAATCCCTACACCCATGACCTACTGTCCACTCCCCATCACACAATCCCTACACCAATGACCTACTGTACACTCCCCATCACACAATCCCTACACCCATGACCGACCTACTGTCCACTCCCCATCACACAATCCCTACACCAATGACCTACTGTACACTCCCCATCACACAATCCCTACACCCATGACCTACTGTACACTCCCCATCACACAATCCCTACAACCATGACCTATCGCCTCCCATAGGTCGGTCAAAGTCCGAAACTTTGCTTGATTTAGTCCAAAGTCCGAATTAGAAGATCATGAGCAGATTTTTTTTTTAATGCCATAAGGATCATGAAATTAAGTCTTTATTGATTATTAATTAAAGTAAATGACAGAAACATTCAAATTTTTTATTGTACTATAGTCTCAATCAATCAATATTATCACTTGTTACAACAAGTTGAACTTTTATGGCATTTAGAATTACATAGCAGCTTGTTATTTTTACACTTGCAGCGATTTGTTGTGCAATTAGTTGTGCAATTGCAGCGAGTGTAGCCTTTACCCCCAGTCAATGATTGTGAAGATGCGATGGTTCGTAGTGATTTTTCCTCAGTGCCAACTGACGACAATAAGGCAGTTTTTCGTGAAGAATTGAAAACTCACTTCTAGCATACAGTTGTTTTAGAACACCATGTTCCGTTCCTAATTTGTAGAAACCGCCCTCGACGCTCATGACAACTGCAATCACGCTTCGGGGATCACCGTGACCTCTGTCAACATCTGTCACCCACTTCACCATCTTTAAATTTTGTATTTGATGTTTTAAGCATCTTAGCACCTTGAGTTTGCAAGCCAGTATGAGCTGCTGATCTGTGTTCCATGATGTCTTGTTTGTTGTGACACAATCTGCAGGTAATGTTCCCTCCGTACCCTTCGTCTGCTTCATTGGGTATTCCACACATAGCATGGACATCGTTGCCACAGGATCCAAAAGAATGAGCTGCACTACAATGTTTTTCACAAATTATATAGAATCTGTTGGCCACATTATCGTCACGCAACTGGTCTGGGCGTTCCGCCACGGCAGTAGATGTGTTAGCTGAGGATGTCGTTGCATTTATGGCAACCTCCATTTCTTGTTCAATGTTCTCAAGATCTTCCTCAGTAACTATTTTATCGAGAGCCCATATATGGAAACTAACATGAATTTACATTTTTTTTTGTTTTGACAGCCATCTGCTATGTCTGTCTCATGGTCTGACGGCCCTTTTGATCCATGTCGCCGTGCATATAGAATGCTATACAAACAAGAGCTAAACAATACGTTACTCTCAATGAAAACGCACCCAGAATAATGAACAACTTAGTCTAGATAGAACATTGGCCAGGACATCCCGGCCAGTGTGCGCATTGGCCGGCCAATGTACAAAATACGCTGTCAAGTTTAAGCGCTTCGGACTTTGGCCAGTACATCCCGGCCAGTGCGCGGATTGGCCGGCCAATCCGCGCTTTGGCCGCACTTCGGGCTTTGACCGTAACATATATATATATATAGGTAGGGGCCCAAAAAAAAAAATTTTTTGTAGTTCCGCCACTGGAAGGATAACTCAACTCGGTAATGTATATTAGATTTACCCTTGCATTCAAATATTCAACAAGACATTGTGCCACATACTTTTTTAAATTGATACTTAACACATGCATAAAGATATTAGATGTTTGTTATAAAATAATATTTTGCTGTTTATATGTTTTACATATTTATTTGCAGTTTTAGCCATTTTAACGTGTTCTTTTCTTCTTTCAAAGTGTGGCTCTGCTGCTAAGGTCGCAAGCCGCAGTTGTCTCCACTCACAGTTTGGAATTAGTTGAATGGCACAAATAATGGTCTCACAAATAATGGGATCTCAGAGAAAATTATAACGGGGGTCTATGTTTCCACATTCATCACCTCCTTACGTACTGACGTATGTCACTGATATCAATTGAAATACTAAATGTCAATTGGAATTTTGTCTCCAACGTTACGTGTTTTGCTGCACGAACGAGTTGTTGAGCCCTAACCTAGTGGGGGTAACTACCGCAGGTTTTTGACATTAGATATTTTGTATACAACTTGACTCCTCTTGTATTCCCTATGTTTAGTTTGTACTAAAAGGAAGTGATGCAAAAGTTCATCAAAATTTATTTGCTTCACCAGATGGCGCTCATCTCCGTGCTTTTTTTTACTGAAAAGAATAATGTTGAAAATGGTCAAAACTAGTGTTTAAAAAAAGTCCAGTAATAGATTAGGAAAGTTAGCATGGAGATAAACTCTTATTAAAGCCCTTTAAAAAGAATATATCTACGTAAAAAACCTTGCTAAGTCCTCTCAATTCTGTTGACCGTGATAATTGATTACATATTTTTATGTTATAGTTGTGAAAAACGACTGTTAAGATACTAAAGGTGAGAATTCAAGACTAGCATGGTTATCTATTTAGCCTACGTAGTTGTATTTAATAATCAAGTGTATTTTGGTGTAAACATAGTTCTACCATTTCGCAATAATAGTGGAACCAGCTGTGTATAAATACATAGTTATGTACATATGTACACCCACTGAGGTAGTCTAAATAAATGTTCCTACTTTTAAATGCACTACTGATTCTAGAGACTAATAATTATTTCAACAAAAAATATTTCCTTTATGGAACCCTAGCACTGTCACAGGCGCCGTTGGATCGCATAAAAATAAGTTACAGACACAAAGTCTGCTTACCTGTTAAGAACAAAAGTTATTCTGTATTTCGATACAGCTAGATCTACTGTAGGTGTGATAATTTTAATTTTTAAAAGAAGCATTTTGACAGATTGTGAACCCCTGCTCTCTTCTGATTAAACTAGTGTTTTAAACGTACATATCATAGGCATACATGTTGCTTGAATTCAAAGAAGCGTTGTTCCCCTACATTTTGATGTAGATCTACATAGTAAGTATGCTCTTTCATTAGACATTTTTTTTGGTGATTTTTTAAAAATGTACAAAATGTGTGTTTTTTTTACTTCACTTTTAAATTTTATAAAAAATTGAGAAAAGCCAATTTCAATGCAATTAATTTAAATGATGTACTTATTTTTGAGTAAGTGTCTTTGTGTTGAGTTCAAAAGATTGAGTTTGACATATACTTTAACAGATATAACCTCTCAAATAAGGCACCTTTTAGGGTGTTGAAAAAAGTTAAAAACCAACTTTTTAAAAACGTCATAACTTTTTACTACTTGAGATATAAACAAATTTAGTACCCACTATCTTAGAATGGCGAGTTCTTGAGATATCAGCTCTCAAAAACACTCTGGGACCGTTTGACACCGCGTTTCTAAATATGCTACATAAAAAAAAACCCACAACCAAAACTTTCTACAATTCTCAACCATTAAAGTAAAATCCTTCTTTTATATAATTTAAAAGACTTTTCTCTGTGGTTTTTTTTCTGATAAAATTTTTTCTTTGAGACTTTTTTCCTAGCAAAAACTGACTTTTTTTCTTTTTCAACGTTTGTGAATGTGACAAATTTTTTTGAAAAACTGAAGTTAGTCATAACAACACGTTAAAAAAAAACGGGGAACAATGCATTACAATTAGAAAGATATAGAGTAGAGCCTTAACTAAGCAGCGATTTAAAAACGAACGCATTTATTAAACAATCATTTTCTAATTAAAATTGGTATCAAATTAAAGGTAAATAAATTTAGATCTAGTTTTTAATTGTTTAAATCATCTTAAGTCTTAAGCGATAATTAAGTTTAAAATGTTAGACGTCACCCTAGTGTAAAAAGCTATAAAAAAAAACTTACTGCGTGTCTAATGCCAGTGTTAGGTTGATCTGTGGAATGCACTCAAGTCTGTAACGTAATAATTTAAAAGCTTCAGATTGTGGTAGAATCATCAGTAGACCATACAAGCTCTTGATCAGCTCAGGATTACTATCAGCTTCCAAAAGCTGCAGTCTTAAATCTGATTTAAAATATGTAGTAAAAAAATGTACATATTAACACTGTTAATGTCTTTTATTCCTATTAAGAATGAAGAAAAGAACTTTCCTGTCTTTGGATACAGTTAGACGACCCAGTTTTCCGTTGGAAAACAATCTGTCGATGAATTTAAGAAAACAACAACAACATCAACAAAAAAAAAAAAAAAAACAACCTACCAGTAATCCACTACGACTACCCCAACCTTTATAATTATATACCATCTTTTAACCCCAAACTAATCCCTCTTCTTTGACAGAATTCCCACTCAGTCTCTCTGTGGCGGGGGAGGGGGAAGGAAGGTCATAAGGAGCTATGTAGATGCTTGCAGTGGAAGTCAGGTTGTCTTTGTGTTAATTTACTACATCATGAAGTATAATATTCGCATACTATTATGAAAAGTAAAAACTAAATAAACCGGGAGTGATCTCCCCTAAACTTTCTAGAATATTCTTATATAACACTACGTAGGATGGCAACTCGGAATATAGACATGATTTTAATTACTTAAACTTAAACTTTTAAAAATAGAATAGAATCTCGTAGAAAAAAAGAATTGCGCACCAAGCGAACGGCAAAACAAAATGTGCATAATAGTGCGGAATATTATTAGTACTTGATAAATTTACATGCGTTTTTTTGAGAAATCGGAAATAGCGTAAATTACTACTTCCGGTCAACGGAAATTACTCAAAATTTGATAGAAGGGAGAGAGGATTAGATATTTTACTTACATGTGAAATTTCATTTATCTATCTGAAAATAGTACTCAAGTTATAGGCTTATGAAAATTTCAAAGTAGAAAAAGTACGACTTCCGGTTTTCGGAAATCGCTCAAAAGTTGATACGGATCTACGATTTTGATAAAATACTTAAATGTGAAATTTCATCAACCTAGTTGTAACGGTACTCAAGTTATCGTGTTTACAGACACACACACAGACAAGATTGCAAAACTATGTTTTTCCGACTCAGAGAGGTGTAAAACGTCGAGAGTTGTAAAAATCTCGATTTTTTTTTGCACGATTACAAGACTTTCTCTATACTTCGAATATACGAGAGAGTAAATTTTTTTTATTTTTTTCAACACAACACCATATTAAATGCCCAAACTGATTTATTCAGTTTAAATACTTCAATTAAAAACACTTCTATTTACGGGTATTTTATTGTTTTATTGAAACTAATTTTGCTCTTTTTTAAGTGATTTCTTGGTGGCCAGTACATTCATCGGTGATCGGAAAAAAGTCACAGGAAAAAAAAAAACAGAAAAAAAAGTCACAGTTTTTGCTAGGAAAAAAAGTCACAGAAAAAAGTCACAATTGAAAAATTTTATCGGAAAAAAAAGTCACAGAAATAAAGTCACAGAAATAAAGTCACAGAAATAAAGTCACAAAAATCTTTTCAGAAATATTTTGATTTAGGCCTATTTGTTGCAAATTGTAATTTTTTTTTTTAGTGTTGTGGGTTATATTTTTGATAGCATATATTATTTATAGACGTTAAAAGCATTATGGTTTATAACTAAGTAAAATACTCTAAGATAATTTACACTTTAATCTCAACTTTTGTTGCGTATTTAGTTAAATAGCGGCAGTAAAGCTAATTATATAAGAAATGTAGGCACATCATTGTGTTTAGCATTTGTTTTGCCATAGACTATTCTCCGGTCGGCCTCTCCCCAGTCGGCCTTGTCCGAACATATTGTGTTTTGTTGACGTTTTGTGTCAATGACAGCCTTTGAACCGTGTCGGCTTTCTGTTTTGATCCCATGCTTTGTTATGTAATGAGCGTGATAAATGTTGACAGTAAAGGTGGTTAAACTAAGCATAACTATTTTTGCGATGAGTTGAGGGCAGCAAATCAGAAGAACTTACCATTTCACGGTAATTTAATGTTGGTATTTAAAAAAAAAACACGATGAAAACCGAGGACGTTGGAAAATTCTATTAAATGCTATTAATATTATGTTTTACATAATTACAATCTACATACTTACAACTAAATATTTTTAGATGAATTATAAACATTACCATGCGTATACAACCTACACACATAACATAAAATTTAATTAATCCTAAGTTAATTTTGCACTCTCTGAATATAAAATATTAACACATTCCATGCAAATATATATTTGTGACTTTTTTTCCTGTGACTTTTTTCCTACAATCCATTCATCAGCCTCGGGATCAGTGTGAGTTCCTAAAGAAAATATAATTCTCTAGAAGCTCTATCTCGTTGAAAACTTTAGTCATAAATCTGCATTTGCATAATTAAATGCGTTTTTCCCCTTTTGAATATGTTTCTTTATCGTATTAACCAGAGGCGTCGCGAGGGGGGGGGGGGGGGAACATATGTCCCCGGGCGCCGACCTGAGGAGGGGGGGGGGCCAAATTGAAAGTTTGAGGGGGGGGGTGCAAATGAAAAGTTCGAGAGGGGGGAGGTTGCAAATCGAAAGTTTGTCCCCGGGAAGGGTCGCTACGCCTCTGGTATTAACGTCTACAAAGGTTGCTTTATAATTATACATTCACTTTCAATAGAATTTTTTTCCAACATTAGTTCGTATTTTAGAATTCTACACATATTGCAGATTTACTGATCTCTAGTTTGTAAAAAATATATAAAAAAACTAAAAATAAATAAATAAATATACAAACTTGTAAACATTGGTCATTTTTAGTACATCAAGATTGTATACGTGTAGGCGAGTCATAAAATCTACTCAATACTTTTTAGCGCAATTTCCATTCTGGAGAATTACGTTTATTAACCCGTCATTTCTGGATGTGTGAATGGATGTGTGTCCGCAGCTTTAAGTCGTATCTCCTCCTCAACGAAGCAATATCGAGGACTAGTTCCAAAAGCAATTATGTTAAGCAAGTTACGAGGATGAACATAGGCCAAAAACATTGCGGGTTTCTTTCATGGATTTCCAGGAAAAGCCAAAAAAACTCGAACAAATGCAGTTGTTGGCCCATATCTCGGCAACCAGACCACTTAGCGACTTGAAACATGTACCAATCGATTCCTGCCATAATTTAAACCAATATTGCCGAAGAAAGTTTTCAAAAATATCCTTTCGTTCGGTCACAAATTTTTTTTTGAATTAATTAAAATTTGGACCGAATTAGTAGGCATTTTTATCCAACCACACCACACGCGTCATCACGTTCAATAGCTGCGCCATCACGTTCAATGGCTGCGACATCACGTTCGGTAGCTAGGCGCGCAATGGTTTTTAGTCATGTAACTCTATTGTAAATAAAACATGTATTTTAACCAATGGTTTTACTAACCCTGATCCTAATTTTTGGTCCAGGTTAGCTTATCATTTATATCATTTATAAATTTACGATACACTTTCCCAGTCCAACTGCTTGGCAATCTACATAGTTCCTTGGCAAACTATGAAATGGATTTATTTCTTTAGAAATAGAAAGCTGGGTTATTTCCACTTTACCAGTAAGACGTAGAACCAGAGGCGTCGCGAGGCGGGGGGGGGGGGGGGGGGGGGGGAATGCGGACCGCACCGGGTGACACCATTTAGGGGGTGACACCAAAACAAAAAAATATAGAAGGTATATGGAAGAAATATGTTTTTGCTAGTTCAATGAATGATTAATTAGAGTTAAAAGATTGTTTTAAGTACATAATGACGAACGTGACAAGGGGGGTGGGGGTGACACCATTAAGTAAACATTCAAACTATAGAGAAAACAATGCTACACCCAGCTGTATTAACAACCAAATAATAGATAAACATTATAAAGTATTACATATGAACACTTAAATGATTTTACGGGGGGGGGGTATGACACCAACTTCAACATTTACATGTAAAAAGAGGGGTGACACCATGAGGTGCCGCATTGTGTGACACCCAACCTAGCGACGCCACTGCATAGAACAGGTATTCTCGAGATAGGCTAATTACCCTAGGGTAAAATCGACAGACCTGAAGCCCAATTTGAAACAATTATATTTAGCTGCCCTCACTTTGTAAAATACTTACAGGCAAAAATTGGTGACTCTATTAGCTGCACCAATTTATCAATTTCTTTTAGAAAATCCACAGTCACCTCAAGATCTCCACTTTGAAATTGTGTCAAGGTAAGTAAACTTTGTTTGAACTTATGGTAAGTAAACTTTGTTCTGAACTTATGGTAAGTAAACTTTGTTTGAACTTATGGTAAGTAAACTTTGTTTGAACTTATGGTAAGTAAACTTTGTTTGAACTTATGGTAAGTAAACTTTTGAACTTATGGTAAGTAAACTTTGTTTGAACTTATGGTAAGTAAACTTTGTTTGAACTTATGGTAAGTAAACTTTTGAACTTATGGTAAGTAAACTTTGTTTGAACTTATGGTAAGTAAACTTTGTTTGAACTTATGGTAAGTAAACTTTTGAACTTATGGTAAGTAAACTTTGTTTGGACTTATGGTAAGTAAACTTTGTTCTGAACTTATGGTAAGTAAACTTTGTTTGAACTTATGGTAAGTAAACTTTTAATTAATCTTTTTGAAAAAAATTGATTTACAAGCAAAAATGTAGGCTTGCTGGTTTTAAGACATTTTAAAAATTAAAACTAATTAAATTAAAAACAAAATCATGACTTGTAATTGTATATTCTTTTGTTAGCTACTTGGGTTACTAGAAAATATGCAGTACTAAGAGCGGAATGTTCTATGAAATCAATGGCTAACAATCACATTGACAAAACAAATGTTGAATGAAACCAATGGCTAAAAATCACATTGACAAAAAAAATGTTGAATGAAACCAATGGCTAACAATCACATTGACAAAACAAATGTTGAATGAAACCAATGGCTAACAATCACATTGACAAAACAAATGTTGAATGAGACCAATGGCTAACAATCACATTGACAAAACAAATGTTGAATGAAATCAATGGCTAACAATCACATTGACAAAACAAATGTTGAATGAAATCAATGGCTAACAATCACATTGACAAAACAAATGTTGAATGAGACCAATGGTCAACAGCGACATTCACAAAAAACTAATTTTGAAAACATGAAATAAACAAATAATTCAAAGCAAAAGCTAGAAAAAAAAGAGAAAGAAGTAAGATATTTAACACAACATGTATTTAATTTATGTTGCAAATGCTGAGAAATTGAACATATTTTTTGATAGCATCTACACAGGGTTAAAGGATACAAAATTTGCATGAGCTTATAGGCCTGCGTGTAGTTTTGTGTGAGATAACACAATGACATCAGGGATACAGGGCTATGAGACCAGCATTTGTACAGACAGCAGAACAAGCTACAGCTTTCCTTTGGATGTAGTGGGGAAACAAGTCAAATGAGAAAGATATCAGATGGAAAGTTTTTTCTTTAATTGATAGAAAAAAATGCAATGGTTTTTTTTAACAAACCAATGGTAATTTTTATCAGTCAGAAATGTATTGTAACTATATACAAAAGGATCTTGCTAGTGCCTCTTTCATTGTGTGTTTTAATGTATACAGAAAAGCAAATTACTGCCTTTTTCATTGGGAGTGGTAGTGTGTAGTTTTGTTTATAAACAAATGCATATTGCCACTGCCTTTTACATTGTGTGTGTTTGTGTATATAATTTTGTGTATCAATCAATTAATCAATCATCCCTTAACCTTTATTAGGTTACGTGGGGCATCACAGATGATTTTCTTATAATTTTCTGGCATTGGTCTGGGTCCTCTGCTGCTGTGAGTAGTTCTGAAAGATGAAGCCAGTCCAGTCTTGGATGTCTTCCATCCAGTGACGTTTTTGACTTTTCATCCCTCCTGGCACAGCGGCAGGCATTAGTATTTTGGAAAGGTCGTTGGTTCGTGGGACATGCCCATACATCTCAGCATTCTTGGTTTCTTCTCCCAAAGGTATCAAACGCATTAGTAGTCCTTTTACAGGCTTCTTTATTAGTTAAGTGACATTGTATTTCCAGGGCCTGGATTTTTCACTTAAAAGCTCTGGGTTGGGCGTCCATGCCTCGCATCCATAAAGGTAGGCAGACGTGACCAGTGACAGCTTTAGTGCTAATAAAAGTATTTTTATTGCACCAAATGCTTTTTAATTTTCTGAATGCTATTGTTGTTTGGGCACATCTTGCAAGTGTTTATTGCTTTGTTCCCTCATCTGATAGTTGGGCACCAAATGATTTACTAATTCTATCAACTCATCTTCACAGCATGTTATGGCATCTGTGTCATCAGTCAAGCCTAGGTTGGTAGTAATCCATCCATTGATGCTGACTAAGGCATCCATGTCATCAGTCAAGCCTAGGTTGGTAGTAAGGCATCCGTGTCATCAGTCAAGCCTAGGTTGGTAGTAATCCATCCGTTGATGCTGACTAAGGCATCCGTGTCATCAGTCAAGCCTAGGTTGGTAGTAATCCATCCATTGATGCTGACTAAGGCATCCGTGTCATCAGTCAAGCCTAGGTTGGTAGTAAGGCATCCGTGTCATCAGTCAAGCCTAGGTTGGTAGTAATCCATCCGTTGATGCTGACTAAGGCATCCGTGTCATCAGTCAAGCCTAGGTTGGTAGTAATCCATCCGTTGATGCTGACTAAGGCATCTGTGTCATCAGTCAAGCCTAGGTTGGTAGTAAGGCATCCGTGTCATCAGTCAAGCCTAGGTTGGTAGTAATCCATCTGTTGATGCTGACAAAGGCATCCGTGTCATCAGTCAAGCCTAGGTTGGTAGTAAGGCATCCGTGTCATCAGTCAAGCCTAGGTTGGTAGTAATCCATCCGTTGATGCTGACTAAGGCATCTGTGTCATCAGTCAAGCCTAGGTTGGTAGTAAGGCATCCGTGTCATCAGTCAAGCCTAGGTTGGTAGTAATCCATCCGTTGATGCTGACTAAGGCATCTGTCATCAGTCAAGCCTAGGTTGGTAGTAATCCATCCTTTGATGCTGACTAAGGCATCTGTGTCATCAGTCAAGCCTAGGTTGGTAGTAAACGATCCGTTGATGCTGACTAAGGCATCTGTGTCATCAGTCAAGCCTAGGTTGGTAGTAAACGATCCGTTGATGCTGACTAAGCGGACATGGTCTTCCAAGGCTTCGGTCATGATCCTTTCTAAGTAGATATTGAAAAGGGAGAGAGCAAGCAGCCTTGCCTGATGTCTGTCTTTGTACTAAACCATTTGCCTACAGTTTTGTAGAAAATTACAGCGCTGGTTATTCTCTTGAATACATTTTAAATAATTTCTATGGTATTTGTGCTGATATTGTATTTGTGTCATACTTTGACGAATGCCTCCTTAAAGTCTATGAAGACGTGGTAAAGTTGTTGTTGGCATTGGAAGTATTTTCACAAACTACCTAAGATGAAAGAATTGCTCAGTTGTGCTGCATCCCTGTCTATAGCCTGCCTGTTCTTCAGCTATATCTTTTCAGCTTGTGACGTTTGTAGAGAATTATCAGCAGGATCTTGCTTGTGTGACTTATTAGACAGATGGTACAGTAGTTTTGGCAGAGTTGCCTATCTAATAAAAGATTAGGTCCACAGGTTGGGCCACTCTCCTGTTTGCCAGATTTTCTTGCAGATATTTAGCAGCACATGTGACATGGTTTCTCTGTTGTCCACTCCTGCCGATTTTCCCTTCTTTGGAGATCCTATGGCTGTCTATGTGATTATCTTGTTGTCTCTTGAGGTTTGATGGTTGTATAACAGAGGAATACTGAATCCACCTTGTTATGATTCCCTGTCCTTCAGTTAGACACTTTCCATTTATGTCCTGTATACACATATTGCTAGTGCCCGTTTCATTGTGTGTTTGTGTATGTATGTGCCTGTTCATTTGATCACTCTGCTGTGGGAAAAGACATAACTTTTTCATGTTTTTACTTCAACCCCTAACCCTGACTGCAGCCCCTGACCCGAGCCCCTAACCCTAACCACAGCCACTGACCACAGCCCCTAACCCTAACCACAGCCACTGACCACAGCCCCTAACCCTAACCACAGCCCCTAACCCTAACCACAGACACTGACCACAGCCCCTAACCCTAACCACAGCCCCTAACCCTGACCACAGCCCCTAACCCTGACCACAGCCCCTAACCCTAACCACAGCCACTGACCACAGCCCCTAACCCTAACCACAGCCACTGACCACAGCCCCTAACCCTGATCACAGCCCCTAACCCTGACCACAGCCCCTGACCACAGCCCCTAACCCTGCCCACAGCCCCTAACCCTGACCACAGCCCCTGACCACAGCCACTGCCCATAGCCCCTAACCCTGATCACAGCCCCTAACCCTGACCACAGCCCCTAACCCTGACCACAGCCCCTAACCCTAACCACAGCCCCTGACCACAGCCCCTAACCCTAACCACAGCCACTGACCACAGCCCCTAACCCTGATCACAGCCACTGACCACAGCCCCTAACCCTGATCACAGCCCCTAACCCTGACCACAGCCCCTAACCCTGCCCATAGCCCCTAACCCTGACCACAGCCCCTAACCCTAACCACAGCCCCTGACCACAGCCCCTAACCCTAACCACAGCCACTGACCACAGCCCCTAACCCTGATCACAGCCCCTAACCCTGACCACAGCCCCTAACCCTAACCACAGCCACTGACCACAGCCCCTAACCCTAACCACAGCCCCTAACCCTGACCACAGCCCCTGACAACAGCCCCTAACCCTAACCACAGCCACTGACCACAGCCCCTAACCCTGATCACAGCCCCTAACCCTGACCACAGCCCCTAACCCTGCCCACAGCCCCTAACCCTGACCACAGCCCCTGACCACAGCCACTGCCCATAGCCCCTAATCCTGATCACAGCCCCTGACCCTAGCCCCTGACCCTAGCCCCTGACCACAGCCCGTAACCCTGACCACAGCCCCTAACCCTGACCACAGCCCCTGACCACAGCCCCTAACCCTATCCCCTGACCCTAGCCCCTGACCACAGCCCCTAACCCTGACCACAGCCCTTAACCCTAGCCCCTGACACTATCCCCTGACCACAGCCCGTAACCCTGACCACAGCCCCTAACCCTGACCACAGCCCTTAACCCTATCCCCTGACCCTAGTCCCTGACCACAGCCCCTAACCCTATCCCCTGACCCTAACCCTATCCCCTGACCCTAGCCCCTAACCCTAGCCCCTGACCCTAGCCCCTAACCCTGACCACAGCCCCTAACCCTGACCACAGCCCTTAACCCTATCCCCTGACCCTAGCCCCTAACCCTGACCACAGCCCCTAACCCTGACCACAGCCCCTGACCACAGCCCCTAACCCTGACCACAGCCCCTGATCAGAGTCCTTGACCCTAGCCCTGACCTCAGTGTTAAGCTCCTTTAGCTGTGTCCTCAAGTCATAAATCTCTGTGGATGTCAACAAAATGCTGTTCAAGCTTTGTACCATGGCACAAGCAAAGCTCAGGTCTTCCTCCAGCAGCAAGACTTGGGCCAGGCTACGGAAGATGGCTTCAGCACTCAGGTACACGGATAGCTGTCTAATGGATAAACATACGGGCTTACCTCACATATACATGTATTATACCAACATACTGGCTAAGGCTGACTTGACATATACACATACAATACAAACATTAACATATACACAGATACAGAAAACATAGACATATTAAAAAAAAAAAGCAGCAGTGTTCTCCCCTAAACTTTCTCAAATATTCTTATACAACACTATGGGGGATATGGGGGATGGCAACTCAGGGTATAGACATGATATTTAATCTATTTTTAATTACTTAAACTTTTAAAAATAGAATAGAATCTCGTAGAAAAAAGAATTGCGCACCAAGTGAAAGGTAAACAATATGTGTAAATAGTGCGGAATAATAGTGCTTTATAAATTCATATGCATTTTTGAGCATTCAGAAATAGTGTAAATTACTATTTCCAGTCAACGGAAATTACTCAAAATTTTTAAGAAGGCAGACAATTTGATCTTTTACTTACATGTGAAATTTCATTTATCTATCTGAAACAGTAGTTAAATTATAGGCTTTTGAAAAATTGAAAGTAGAATAAGTTCCACTTCCGGTTGGCGGAAAACTCTGAGAAGTTGATACAGAACTACAAATTTTATATAATACTTATATATGAAATTTCATCAACCTAGCTGTAACAGTGCTCAAGTTATTGTGTTCACAGACACACATACATAGACAGAATGGCAATTGCAAAGCCCAGTTTTTTCGACTTGATTACATGTAAAACGCCAAAATTTTTATAAATCTGGATTTTGAATTTTTGCCTGATTAAAGTGCCCTATACGATTAAATACTTAGAAGTAAACTGGTGAAAACTGTCAAAATTTCATGTGATTTTTGTGCACAATACTTCCTTTATACTCTGTATTCGAGAAAGTAAAAAAGGCATCTATTAATTTAAAATGTTTGACAAAATTTAAAAAATTATAATTACTTACCTATCAATTACTATTCACTTGGTTTTGGCCAGTTTGTAGCTATGCATAAATCATTAAATGGTTTACTATATGTAAGCACTGACTCACCTGATTATGTAAGCACTGACTTACCTGATTATGTAAGCACTGACGTACCTGATTATGTAAGCACTGACTTACCTGATTATGTAAGCACTGACTTACCTGATTATGTAAGCACTGACTTACCTGATTATGTAAGCACTGACTTACCTGATTATGTAAGCACTGACTTACCTGATTATGTAAGCACTGACTTACCTGATTATGTAAGCACTGACGTACCTGATTATGTAAGCACTGACGTACCTGATTATAAAAGCTCCTCTATCTTCAAGAAGTTGCTTGTCCTTTTTAAACCAATCAATCAGTCCATTCATTAATTTAGTGAAATAAGGGTTCAACTTGAGGTCATTAGCTGGCCTTGAAAGACATGTGACATTGGGCAGGTCACCAAAGCCAGAAGGGTTAGAAGAAATTTCTGACAGTACTTCAAGATCAAGCAAAACAACCTGCAATAGTGTACATGGATTCATCTGTCATTTGAGTTGGGTTCAGCTTCATTAACAATACACCTCCCAAAAGCTTCTTCATGTGATTTCTTTTAGTGTGCAGAACTACAACAGGTGAGTGGATAATGTGGTTTTGGTCAAAGCTATCTATCTGCAGGTAAGTGGATTAAAGGGTAAGGACAATGGAGTAGCTGAATGTAAACAACTAGGATAGGGTTAGGATAATTTTCATGAAAAAAATTGAATTGGTTAAAAGTTTAGAATTTGAACTTTGACCTTACATCATCTGAAGGATCAGCCAGTGTTGTCATAAGCAGACTAAAGAACTCCTCAATGTAGCGAAAGGTCTGAAAAATGTTTTTTTTTAATTGTTGAAATTGCCTGGGATCTTCCAACCCATTAAGACAATAATTTAGATATTAAACATGACTAAGATCTTAAACATGGCTAAGATCTTAATTTAAATAATTTATATCTTAAAAATGACAAAGATCTTAAATAATTTAGATATTAAACATGACTAGATCTTAATTAAAATAATTTAGATCTTAAACATGACAAAGATCTTAAATACTTTAGATATTAAACATGACTAAGATCTTAATTTAAATAATTCAGATCTTAAACACGGCTAAAATATTAAATAATTTAGATCTTAAACATGACTAAGGTCTTAAATACAATTTATGTTCAACCTAGTTTAGACTTTGATTTAACATAAATCTAGAATATAATTGATCTTAAACTCATTTATCCTTGAGTTTATATCACTAGTGTAATTTACCATTTTGTGTTTAAAATGGCTGGTTTAGACAAATAATTTTGACTAAACCTATGTTGACATATACCTCATGTAGATACAAAACAGCATTAGCATTGTTCCTTAACATATGTAAACATTAGCATTGTTCTTTAACATATGTAAACAGCATTATCATTATTCCTTAACATATGTAAACAGCATTAGCATTGTTCCTTAACATATGTAAACATTAGCATTGTTCCTTAACATATGTAAACAGCATTAGCATTGTTCCTTAACATATGTAAACATTAGCATTGTTCCTTAACATATGTAAACAGCATTAGCATTGTTCCTTAACATATGTAAACATTAGCATTGTTCCTTAACATATGTAAACAGCATTAGCATTGTTCCTTAACATATGTAAACATTAGCATTGTTCTTTAACATATGTAAACAGCATTAGCATTGTTCCTTAACATATGTAAACATTAGCATTGTTCTTTAACATATGTAAACAATTACGTAAAGTGATGGAGTGGAAACTCAAAGTGAGAGAAAAGAAAAGTAAAAAAAGGACATTTACTTTCACATTTTTAGATAATTCCTCATGGGCCGCCAAGAAAAAAAAACAAGGTTGTAAGAGGCCTATCAGGGCTTTAAAAAAACATTTGTTGACTGAAAAGTCCTTGGTGTATAGTTTTCCATTTGCCTCCCCTCCCACCCAGTCTCATGAGTTTCCATTAGGCAGGGGAAATGATTACAAGGTTACGGTGTGAACATTTGGTGTAGAGTAGAAAATTAGATGAGGACTAGAAAATTAGATGTAGACTAGAAATATAGGTGTAGACTAGAAATATAGGTGTAGACTAGAAAAGTAGGTGTAGACTAGAAAATTAGGTGTAGACTAGAAAAGTAGGTGTAGACTAGAAAAGTAGGTGTAGACTAGAAAAGTAGGTGTAGACTAGAAAATTAGGTGTAGACTAGAAAATTAGGTGTAGACTAGAAAAGTAGGTGTAGACTAGAAAAGTAGGTGTAGACTAGAAAAGTAGGTGTAGACTAGATAATTGGGTGTAGACTAGAAAATTAGGTGTAGACTAGAAAATTGGGTGTAGACTAGAAATATAGGTGTAGACTAGAAAAGTAGGTGTAGACTAGAAAAGTAGGTGTAGACTAGATAATTGGGTGTAGACTAGAAAATTAGGTGTAGACTAGAAAATTGGGTGTAGACTAGAAATATAGGTGTAGACTAGAAAAGTAGGTGTAGACTAGAAAAGTAGGTGTAGACTAGATAATTGGGTGTAGACTAGAAAATTAGGTGTAAGTACATCATAATAAAAAAGAAATCAGGAACAAAAGGTCAGTAACTAATGCTGGATTGTAAACTAAGATGCAACATTCCTCCAGCAAAACATGTTGAAAGAATTTGTGCTGATCCACAACTTGCATCCTTAGAGTTACTTTCAAATTTTTATCTGCTGTATGAGTTGTTGTCCCCAGCTATGGAGTCTCATCTGCCCAGTGGTTTGAACTCAGGACTTTGTTGGTGGGCTTGAGATTTTCCTCCAGAGTCTCATCTGCCCAGTGGTTTGAACTCAGGACTTTGTTGGTAGGCTTGAGATTTTCCTCCAGAGTCTCATCTGCCCAGTGGTTTGAACTCAGGACTTTGTTGGTAGGCTTGAGATTTTCCTCCAGAGTCTCATCTGCCCAGTGGTTTGAACTCAGGACTTTGTTGGTAGGCTTGAGATTTTCCTCCAGAGTCTCATCTGCCCAGTGGTTTGAACTCAGGACTTTGTTGGTAGGCTTGAGATTTTCCTCCAGAGTCTCATCTGCCCAGTGGTTTGAACTCAGGACTTTGTTGGTAGGCTTGAGATTTTCTTTCAGACTGTGCTGACCCACGACTGCCTATACCACTCAAAGTTCAATGACAAAAAACAGATAGCATCTGACAACTATCCTTATTGTGTATATGGTATCCACTGGATTTCTATGAAGGTGTATATGAGTGGATTCGATCCATGGAATACTTTTAAAACCATGAGGAAAGGCACAGGATAAACAAACTATTCAGATCTTAAAGTCAAACAATAATTCAAGTCTTAAACTTAGTTAAAACAATATTGAATTGTTAGATATTACACTTACTTGACATACAACATTAAATGGTGTTCCTATATTTAAATACTGATTTACCTTATTTGGAGTTTTCACTAGTAAAAGATGAAACCATTTAAGGGCAGCAACTCTAGCTTGGATTGTTTCGTGCCCCAAAAGTCTTTGTAAAACTTTAATAACTGAAAGAATCTCCAGTTGAACTGTTGTACTGATAAAGAAATGTATACAAAACTATTAGAATGACAAGCAATTTTGTATGTACAAAAAAAACGAAGGAAATGAAATACTTTTCTAAAAATATTCATTTACGAGAAAAATGGCCCGTTGAGGAAGGATACAACGGGCGCTAGGTTGATAGTGCTGTCTATTTTCTTGGTACTTTAATTTATACAACATATAATCATAGGCATATCCCTAAACCATGCACCTAATCTCATTCATGACAAAAGTCGCATTCAGAGTTTCTTTCAGGCAACTCTACTTGGGAGGAGGGGCCTTCGCCCCCCTTCCCCCCCCCCCCACACACACTCCAAGACATGTCTACCGTCCCATTCAACGAAATATAATTATATACTTTTTCCAGTGTCCGCCCCCTCCCAGAAAATTCTACCCCCGCCCCCGAAAATTTCAAGTACCCCCACCCCTCTCCGGGGAGGAAAAAGTCTGAAAGAAACAATGGTCGCATTTGTAGATCATACAAACTAAAGGAAGAATCTGGGCGGGGCTTCGCCTCTACCGGAAGAGATGCTTGAAAAAAAACTGCACGCTAAACACTTTTTAGATTAGAAAAAGTTCCCCCATCCGGGGAGGAAAAAGTCTGAAAGAAACACTGGTGTCGCGCTTAGCCACTACCCGAAGAATTGCATTAAAGAAATTGCAAGAAAACCACTTTTTAGATTAGACACATTAATTAGGCGGTAATTTTATTATAGAGTATCGATGAAGAAATTTCTTTTGAGTTGGGGAGGGGGGTGGGGGGGGGGGGGGGGCTCAGACGTTCTTACGCGGGGGTGGGGCTTCGCCCCTACCCGAAGAATTGTATGAAAGAAACTCTTCACGCAAACCACTTAGATTAGACAAAATTGCCTTTTTATTCAATGTTTACTCGAGAATCAATGACGTCATATTACTGTGTGCACTCTCCGGCTTGATATTATTTTCTACTCTATAACGTCATATTTCGCTTCCGCTTTACTGTGAAAGTTTTTAATTTGCTTGTGTTTTCTCTAGAGCGTTCTTGTCAGATACATAGATAGATTTATAGACAGACAGCGAAACTATTATATAACATTGTGTAGTTTAAAAAAGTATGGACATATTCTTAGTTACAGTAATCTATATATATATAAAGCAAAGTGGTCGAGTGCCCGATCTGGCACTTCCCGGCGCTGCAGGCGATTCAAACTTTGCAGGATCCTGCCTTGGGGCAAAAGAACAGGGGGCCCGGTGCCAGTTGGCTGAAAAGTCCATGATGAGGGGGTCAAAACTGACCTCGACTGACTGGAGCCTTATATGAGCTGTATATCTGACAAAATTTCCCCACGTAAGAACCGCTTCAAAACTCCTGAGGTTGTAGACCAACCCTCGTGGGTGGCAAAAAAATATATGATACGTTCGGGAGAACTCCGGAAGAACTGACCGGTCCAAATTTTCCCTACATAAACGTTAATTTGGTGACCAAAAAAAAAGGCTATTTTCAAAATAATGTTTCGGAACTTTGGCTCTGTACCTCTAGCTCATTTTTTGCATAGAGCTGAGTAAATAAATCGGCCTTATGGATAATCTATTGGTCAGCCTCTGACCAAAAGGCGAGGACTAAAAGTGACCACAAGTGACATTTTCCTTACATCAGCTATGTATAAAAAAATTGCCGAACGATCCCCCTGATATTTAGTGAGGTCCTAGACCGACCCCAGAGGGTAACAAGAAAACTTTATTCCTGTCGGAAAAAACCATTATGGTAGTTAAATATGTCCAGATGCCGTATTTTCTTATATAAGCATAACAACTGTTTGTGAAAAGAAAGTAAACAAAGACTACATCATTCGGTCAATTTACAAGGGAGGTAACTTTTTCAAATGTTTTTTCAAATAATTTTATATTTTAAACACAAACATACAATGATGAAGTATAGCGTTTATTTGAGTAAAATTTGTGTTATAAATTAAGATATCTAACATAATTAAATTATAGAAATTAATTTTTAAAGTCAATGTAATATAAATTTTGAGTTATACTATTAAGGGAACCTCTGCAGTTCTAATTCCCTCTAATTTTATAGATTTTGAACATTCCATCAAGTATTCTAAAATAAGCATTACTGTTTAAACTTAATAAGCACTCCACATATCAGCCAATTTCTAATTAATTAAGTACCAGTACAACAGCACAGCAAAAAGTGTTTAGCACTAGTATTAATATGTATTAGCCAGTGAATACACAACAGGATTTCATAAGCCAGCAAGGGTTCTAGGTATGACAAGATGGCCTGTTGTGCTTTGCTGCAAGCTCAGAAGAAAGGAAGTTAAAAGAAACTTGTAAGGTTTACATTCAGGACTGGACTGGTTGTATTCAAGAGGCACAGGAAATTTTAAAAAAGGCCCCCAACCCAGATTTTCATTTTCTTTGAGCATCAAAACCAGATCCTCACGATGGGAATTCAAGCGACAAAAATATTTTTAAAAATCAAAGCCAGATTCTCAGCTGGATGGGAATTCGTACCACAAACATATTTTTTTTAACCAAAGCACTAATAGGCCTGGTGACGGAGTGGTCTAGCAGTAGTGAGCTGGACTGCTGACCCGTAAGTTTCGAGTTCGAATCCGGGTTCAAGTCAGTCGACCGTCCCTGAGTCCACCCAACTCTGATGGGTACCTAACTCACGTTAGGGAAAGTAAAGGCAGCTGGGCTTAGTGCTGACCACACTCTTCATATGCTGAGGTCACAGAAACAAGTGAACTCTACTTCACTTGCCCTATAGACTGTCAGGTTTGTAAAGTAAACTTGACTTACTAATAGGCTAATGTTCTACATGACCTGCCTAGAGAAGACTTCAAATGATTCTACATGACCTGCCTAGAGAAGACTTCAAATGATTCTCTACCTGCTTGGCATTTGTTTATCTTCAGGCTGGTCAATTGTTGGGGTTGGCTGGTCATCTTGAGCTTCCACAAGTTTTCTTAAAGCTTGATTCAAATTTTCTGCTGCTTCCCGTACTCTACACCAGCAAAAAAGTAAGATACAATATAACAAAGTAGCAAAGTTAACAAAGTAGCCAAGTTAACAAAGTAGCCAAATTAACAAAATAGCCAAGTTAACAAAGTAGCCAAGTTAACAAAGTAGCCAAGTTAACAAAGTAGCCAAGTTAACAAAGTAGCCAAGTTAACAAAATAGCCAAGTTAACAAAGTAGCCAAGTTAACAAAATAGCCAAGTTAACAAAGAAGACAGTTAACAAAGTAGACAGTTAACAAAGTAGACAAGCTAAAAAAATGTTTTTAGTAATTATTTAATATTTTAAAATTTTAATTAGAACTAGACTACCCGTTATTCCTGAATAACTGTCTGTTTCGAGGGTCATCCATAAATGACGTTGTGTTTAGTTTACGACTTTTATCTTTCCCCTTCCCTTCCCCCCGTATACATCTTCACATAAAGTCAGACCCCACACCTTGGCAACATTTTATTGTCTTTTAAAAACACCTAGTTGAGCATGGGTCTGACCACACTATCCCCTCATATGCTGAGAACACAGAAACAGGTGAACTCTACTTCACCTGCCCAGTGTTCTGTCAAGTCCTGATAGGCAACTTTATCATTCATATCTAAAAAAAAAATAGAACAAAAAATATAACATTGACATGATGTGTCTCGAACCCGTACCATATGCATGGTAACTATTACGCTATCAACTCAGCTATTTAGGCACTTCCAACTAGGTGCAAAATAAGTGGGATAGTTTACTTAGAGAGTCTTCGCGTAAGAAACTTGAATTACACGAATAGGCCCATCATTTGAAATTAAATTAAATCATATCCCAAATTAGCCTTTTCCTTAGCTAAATAAACAAAGCTTTATATAAAGTAATTAAGGCCTGACAGTTTATTATAGAAACTCATTTTGGCATAGATTCTAGATCTAGATTTAGAATCTATGACTGGCATTAGTCTAGATTTTCCGTAACTCTAGATCTGGATAAATTCTTGTATTCTCAAATTTAGATGATCCTTGAAGCTAAAAAGCAAAGATTTATATCAAATATTTAAGGACTAAAATAGTTAAATAAAAAAAACTCAACTAATTTATTGTGTTTTTTGTATCTAACTAATTAATTTAGGTCTGGCCTATTGGTAGATCGGGTGTTGGGAAATTGCGAGACTCGAAAAGCGAAATGGCGAGGCGGGAAAATGCGAGAAGGGCGCAAAAACGGTCAGTCATGTGACCTTTTGTCTCGCATATTACCACAACCCGATACTTAGCTGGGTGGTGTTAAAATGCAAAGATTTCTAGAATCTCTAGATCTCGGCAAGATAAATTTATTGTATAGATCTAGATCTAGCCAAATTAGAAGAACTGCTCAGTGTATCCTAATGAAAATTGATAATAGTGTTGGAACCTAATAAAATTAGCAAACAGATTATGGCAGACATAAAATTTAGCTTTATGATGCATTAAACTTTTGAATGGGCAACATTATCTTCCATGGAAGCTGCCATGCTTGTTGTAAAAAAAGTAAATGAATCATTTGATGTCACTATAAATAAAGTAATTGTTTTGAACTTGAATTAAAGTGGTGTTTTTACCAATGAATATACCAGTAAATTAATTAACTTCTCTGAATAAATTTGTGATTAACAGTATCTAAAAAAAGAACATTATTCTTTATATAAATACTTATTTTACAGCTCTACACATTGTGCAGATTCTCTCCTGTAACCAAAAAACAAAAAAAAAACAACAAACAACAAATAAATACACAAACTTGTAAACAAACTTAAGTTTTAGTAGTATAATAGATAAAATGAAGTTAGAACATGTATTGCACACCAAATGAATGCAAACAATGTGCGTAATGCTGAGTGGAAAATTAGTACTTGATAAAAGAAACATTGATGAATTAAAAAAAAATTAATTCACTTTTGAAGAACCAGAAGTAGGGTAAGTACCACTTCTGGTAGATGGAAATCTCTTAGAATTTGAAAGAACACCTCAGTTGCTGATATACAACATTTTCCAAAGGAATCCTGTACAGGTGCACATATTTTTATTTTAGATATATTGTGTCAAAAACTCTATGCAACTTTATAATGGGGGGGGGGGGGAGGAGGGGGGAAGCTGAATAAATGTGCAGAAAATAAACACATGCTCACATAACTTCAAGAACGTTTGTATGAGGATCAGCACAGATAGATGTACTTAAGGATTATTTACTTAAATACATCTGGTAAATTTTAGTTAAAACAATAGAAAAACACTGTGGATAAGACTAGAGTAAAACTGCCTTCAAAAGATGAATAACCAAACTTCAAGTTGTTTATTTTACAATCAGAATCATAGCTTTTGAATGAGGTAATGCTCTATGAAACCTGTTTATGCAGTTGTGTGTAAAGTAGTGTGTGAGCAATGTAGTGATCTAACCTATACCTTATCATTATGTTAAAAAAATAATCTTTAAGGAACACGAAAAGCAGTAGCTAATTAAAAAATGTAAGGATTTGAAAGCTTCAAGACCAATAATTTAGTAAATATTAAATGTACTGTGGGCTATTATTCAGAGTGTTGCACCTATTAGGTTTGGTTTTCCATATAATTTAAAGAGTGCTTTTATACAATATCCGCTTTCACAAACGTTCTTTATGTTGTAATGTTTTAGCATGTATGATAAATATATTTAATTCTGATTGTAGACAATATTTTTTTGCAAAAATGAATAGTAATGAGCTACTATATTAAATACTAAAGTAATTATTGATCTGGTTTAATTTGACAATTACAATAAATGTATAAACTTGTACATATTTATATTAAGAGTGATTATTTCCCATACTGTAATTTGCTTGTCTTAATTAATATTCCATTATGTCAAATGGAATAGTTACGACTTAAACTCAATATTTTTAATGAACTTAGCATATACACATTTTTGAAGAAATTGGGTGCACTGGCAGACAAATATTGATTCAAACAGTACAAGCTGTTCCTGGAGGATGTACAACAAAGCAACATCTGTTCTAAACCATCATGACTTTCAAAAAGCAAACAAAAAGCATTGTAGCAAAACATACGTCGCCACTCAAACTTGTTCAAGTGTTTATTTAGTGGTGTTGGAATTAAGATAGTGTTCCCGTCCTCATCACATATCCATTGTTGGGTGACCAGAAGGATGTGCAAAGATAAATGTGTGCACACAGAAAACTGGCCAAAGAGAAAAAATTGATCACAAAGATAAATGTGTGCACACAGAAAACTGGGCAAAGAGAAAAAATTGATCACAAAGATAAATGTGTGCACACAGAAAACTGGGCAAAGAGAAAAAATTGATCACAAAGAACAATGAGCACACAGAAAACTGGGCAAAGAGAAAAAATTGATCACAAAGATAAATGTGTGCACACAGAAAACTGGGCAAAGAGAAAAAATTGATCACAAAGATAAATGTGTGCACACAGAAAACTGGGCAAAGAGAAAAAATTGATCACAAAGATAAATGTGTGCACACAGAAAACTGGGCAAAGAGAAAAAATTGATCACAAAGATAAATGTGTGCACACAGAAAACTGGGCAAAGAGAAAAAATTGATCACAAAGAACAATGAGCACACAGAAAAACAATGAACTTGTGAGTGATCTGTGTGCGATTGCCAAATATAAAGTTAAAAAGAAAATATGCCAGATTGTACTACTCTTAAAACATGTCAATCACATCAAATGTGTGCTCAGCCAATCAAGTTTCTTAATTAGATGAATATAATAATATAATAAAATATATTATATTAATATTATATAAATATATTATATTATATAATAAAAGTAGGTCATCCAGAAAAAAAAGTAAAATGGCTCCCGCTTGAACCACAGCTGTTTACAGCGTTATTAAGTTCTTTCTTCTGAATATAGATTTAGAATATTTAGATATATATTAATTAATATTCCATTATGTCAAATTTGACAATTACAATAAATGTATAAACTTGCACATATTTATATTAAGAGTGATTATTTCCCATACTGTAATTCAATGATTGTTAGAATTAGCCCTTGACACTAAAGGCAGTGTGATGGTTATAATCTGATTTCATAAGGAAAAGATTTAATTTTGAAATAATTACATTATCAATAAGCTTTGATTAAAAACGAATAACTCAAAGTTAAAAGTAAAGCTAAATTTAAAAACTTTACTGTCCAATGTGTACTGAACCATCTTTTTTTTATGATAAGTCATGTCTTATAACATGTGAGTGTCTAAAGTTAATATAGATTCTCCATGACAGATGATCATATTAAGCAAAAAAAAAAACACAACAAAACCTTTTATATCTACAGTAAAATAAAACATCTTTTACATATTTAAATAGATTTCACTAAACTGATATTAAATGCTTTGGAGTAAAAACAAACAATTTTTATTCTTGAAAAAAAATTGAAATCTGCATTTTTCACAACTCTAAAGTGTCATAATTATGTGGTTTTTTTCATATGAAAGTTAAAAATTAGAACTTTTTTTACATTTATCATTTACAGCATTAATTTCTTAATGTAAAAAATCCATTTTAAGTTATCTAATTATGCAAAATATTGTTTCTTAGCTCATTTTAGTAGTACATGTACAACCCAATCAGATCCCTTCGGTAGTGATTTGCATAGGCCTACTTTAAGTCATCCGCCACGGCATAAAATATCAAAAACAAAACTGTTCCCACAAAGCTTCCAAAGACATAGCTTGTTCTAATAATATCAGCAACATAACCAAACTATGTTAAAATGGTAAAAAAATTCCAAGATGTCCACTATCACCATGGCAACGGCAGGCAATTTTCAGCCATTTTAATTTTTTTTAGACTTAACTCTTTGAGTTATAACTATATGCTAACAATAGCATTAGGTTTACAAATAACCAGTGAGGCTAATTTGGTATTCATCACCCACCTATGCCCCAAGGGGGTAGGCTCCAAAAAAAAAAAACCCAACTTCTTAACTAATAAGCTTTACTTATTTATTCGTGAATATCTAGAAATATTTTATTCAAATTTACAAAATTTGGTATGGTGAAAAAATATTAAACACACCATACAAAATTTTGAAAAAAATAATAAAAATTCCCAAGTGTTTTTTGTTACAAAAAGCTAGCTAGCTGACTCTATTAGAGTTAGTTAAAGAAGGATAATAATAAAGATCAACATGTTAGTTTTTCAACCGCGGGATCTCCACAAAAGGTAGTTTTTCAAGACGGCCGCCATTTCCATGGCAACCATATGTTAAGAGTCCCATAAATACCTTAATGTAGATATACACAAATAAATAAAAATGGCTTATTAATAAAATGACAACATATCTCATATATTTGTTTCGGTTCTATAAAAGAAAATTTCTCAGAATAATTATAAAATAACGTGTTCATTGTTAAAGCACTTGCCACGTCGTTAGCTGAAATTTCCCACAATATCAACACTTCAACAAGTTTAGTAAACATTGAAACAGATACAAATGACAAAGGGAAATAATTTCTTTTTCCCCGCTCTTTTTAAATTCAAATTATTATTACTTTTATAAACCGATATTTTTTTGATTTAGTGGAGCAAACTTCAAGAAAAGCAGAGTGTAGGAACGAAACATAATTTTTTAATTTAGGAGAACAAATGTGTAAACCTTATTAAGCAATAGGAAAATTTCTACAATAAACCTTAATGAACAAAAGGATAATTTGAACAAAGCTCCTTATTGAGCAATAGAATAAATTGTACAGATGACATTAATGATGAGTAAAATGGACTGACTTTTTGCGTGTGTCATCACTATATGAGAGGCACGGCAAGACAGCGCTTAAAATCCCAGCCACATGGGGCAGCATTGCTCGACCAGACAAAGCAATGAATTCTCTCAGCCATGTCAAAGCTGTAAACTGTATTAAGTCATCTGAAAGATTTTAGTAGGTACAAGTCATTAGAACATTAACCTATGAGATGTGGATGACTTAAAACAGATGTAGGTCATAAGAAATCCCTTCAGCTGTAAGGCATTACTCTGTAATAGATGTAGTCCAATGGTTCTTAATCTGGGTTTGACTGAGGGTTTTGGTGAGTTCATCACAGAGGTTTTATGTAGGTCACGACACATGCCCAACTCATGATTTGCTACAGGATTTAGTCGGTGCAGACAATGCCAGTTCAAATATAACTTCAAACATAGTATAAAATACACCAGAGAGAGATAACACACATTGATATCGTGATGGAGATGGAAAATACAAGAGCACAATGCTTGCTGAATTCAGAGGTAAAGCAGCTTTTGGTAGGGTTTGGTATGACCAAAAATGTTAAGAACCACTTCTCTAGTCAGTGTAGTAAGGCGATATACTTTTTAACAGGATGCAGCGAATAGGTTGAAATGTAAGATACAGCATTAAATGTAAGATCACAAAACTAAGCTACAATACAGCATTAAATGTAAGATCACAAAACTAAGCTACAATACAGCATTAAATGTAAGATCACAAAACTAAGCTACCATACAGCATTAAATGTAAGATCACAAAACTAAGCTACCATACAGCATTAAATGTAAGATCACAAAACTAAGCTACAATACAGCATTAAATGTAAGATCACAAAACTAAGCTACAATACAGCATTAAATGTAAGATCACATTCACAATACTAAGCTACAAAACAGCATTAAATGTAACATTACAAAATTAAGCTACAATACGGCATTAAATGTAAGATCACAAAACTAAGCTACCATTCAGCATTAAATGTAAGATCACAAAACTAAGCTACCATTCAGCATTAAATGTAAGATCACAAAACTAAGCTACAATACAGCATTAAATGTAAGATCACAAAACTAAGCTACCATACAGCATTAAATGTAAGATCACAAAACTAAGCTACAATACAGCATTAAATGTAAGATCACAAAACTAAGCTACCATTCAGCATTAAATGTAAGATCAAAAAACTAAGCTACAATACAGCATTAAATGTAAGATCACAAAACTAAGCTACCATTCAGCATTAAATGTAAGATCACAAAACTAAGCTACAATACAGCATTAAATGTAAGATCACAAAACTAAGCTACCATTCAGCATTAAATGTAAGATCACAAAACTAAGCTACAATACAGCATTAAATGTAAGATCACAAAACTAAGCTACCATTCAGCATTAAATGTAAGATCACAAAACTAAGCTACAATACAGCATGAAATGTAAGATCAAAAAACTAAGCTGTCATACAGCATTAAATGTAAGATCACAAAGCTAAGCTATTTAGTACTAAATAGGTTAGTGTTATGAATGATGTTAAAGTTATTTTGTTGAAAGTTAGTGTCGTCAGTTTCAACAAATCAACATGATGTTATTTTGTCAATGAAAAATTTAAAGGAGAAGCAGTCAATCGAATATTGTGATATTGGCTCCTGAAATATATTCACTCTCTACCTAACTACGTATCTATATATATAAAAAGCAATACAGTAAATAAAAATAAAAGTTGCAAGCAGTTTGACACAAGTTCATCCGATCGCCATGAAACTTTGGGGAGTTGATTAGAATATTCCAGCGTGCGATTTTTCTCTAAACACGGTATATAAAAATTAAAGGCGAATGCGGTTCATCCGAGTTCCATAAAACTTTGGGGAGTAGATGAGAATACTTTATAGAAGATTTTTGTGACAAAAAAAATTAAAACTTCTTATGGGCGGTGCCCGGAGGGTGCGATTTTTGTCAATAGACAGTTTGGCGCCCAGAGTTCCAGAGCGGCTATGCTAGCACTTGGCATCTGTTAATCGGGCGCCCTGTATAGGTAAGATGCTCTACTAGATTCAGTGGTAAAACTGCAACAGGCACAATCAACTGCACCCAACTGTGTGACCTGAAATGCCCTGGGTTCCCCTACTAGCACCATGGCATCTACATTTGTTTAAATAAAAAAAGCTATACACTAAAAACATAATAGGCAACAATAATCTTTAATTTTATTGAATCAGCCGCGCCCTCCGGCGCCTTGTGGGGTGCTATTTGGGGTCAGTGCTAGTCTGTGAGCGCCTGCTTTGTTTTAAAAAGTGTGATAGACTATGAATAGTCGTTTACAAAACTGAATCAGACGCGTCTGTCGACGCCTTGGTGTAATTTGCAGTGGACTATCCTCTAACCCCACGGCAACAAACAGGGATGGGCACGCTAGTTTAGAATAAATTTGGATAGATTATGGCTTGTTAAAGTATCATGTTTGTAGCATTCAGAGTTGAGAGATCAGTAAATTTAGTAGCAACTTCAAACATCTGCAGTGAAATGCCCAACCTATCTCCCAAGAGTCTTACATGAAATCCTAAAGCTACAACAGTGCAAAGCAATGGAAACTTTACCAGAGTTTTGGCTGTGAACTATCAAAATGTTAGCCATTCCTGTGAAGTTAACTCCATTCTTACATCGACGAATTCCTTCTAAAAATTCAGCCAATACACCTTGACACCTGGAGAATAGATTGGATAGAGAAAGTTTTTTAACATGGCAGAGTGTCACACAGGACAAGGCAGAGTGTCACACAGGACATGGCAAGAGTGTCACACAGGACAAGGCAGAGTGTCACACAGGACAAGGCAGAGTGTCACACAGGACAAGGCAGAGTGTCACACAGGACAAGGCAGAGTGTCACACAGGACATGGCAAGAGTGTCACACAGGACAAGGCAGAGTGTCAGACAGGACATGGCTAAGTGTGACACAGGAAGTGGCAGAGTGTGACACAGGACAACATTATCAAAAGTGTAGTCATTATCAAAAGTGTAGTCATTATAAAAATGTAGTCAAACAAATCTTTCCACCAACAATATCACTGAAGTAATAAACCTTCCCAGAAGCATAAAAAATATAGTCAATCAACCTATCATAGAGTCACTAACACAAAAACATACAAAAAATATAGTCAATAAACCTATCATAGCGTCACTAACATTTTGCGGATCTCATGACTGTTGTCACCAAGGATCTGAAAGAGTCCATCCAAAATTTCTGGCAACAGAGCAAGCATGTTGATGTCAGGCACTGCATCAAGAACTTCAATCTTAAACGGTAAATGGATAGAGACAATCATTTTCAAACGGTAAATGGATTGAGACAATCATTTTAAAACAGTAAATGGAATACAACTTTGATCAGGACTAAAATAAAAACTTAATTGACAAATTAAAAAAAAAAATTGACAAGTTGTACCCATGAAACCACAAACTGGCGTGCAAAAGTATTCCTGGTATAAATCCTCTCTCTTAATAATGGAATGAAGGCAACCAGATCAAAGGAAGAACTTTCAGTAACGATATCCTGGAGAAGCAATTTAACAGAGTCATGACAACATGACCACACTAAAGGTGTGTAAGACATGATAAGATGACTCTAAAGGTGTGTGAGACATGATAAGATGACTCTAAAGGTGTGTGAGACATGATAAGATGACTGTAAAGGTGTGTGAGACATGATGACTCTAAAGGTGTGTGAGACATGATACGATGACTCTAAAGGTGTGTGAGACATGATAAGATGACTCTAAAGGTGTGTGAGACATGCAGGGATGTGACCAGACCAGGAAAAAAAATTAGGAAATTTTCTTCGGATAATAACTCAATATGTTTTATCTACTTTTTAACGCAGTTAAGCAGCTTCAAACCGCAGCTTCATACTGTTACTGTACTAATTAATTGTTTAATGAAGTTAATATTTTAAATACAAGAAGTTTATGTTACTCTAAAATAACATTGAAAGTCTTGTCTAATTGCAATTTAATGTTTACTTTATAAACAACTTTAAAAAAAATTACAATGTAACAAAACTAGCAAATTAAGTTTTATTTTACCATTAAGCTAATTTAAATTGCACTAATCTAGTGTAGATGTACTCCTGTTTTCAATTTTAAATAGGGGGCCTAATGCCTTATATTCTTTTAAAGATTGGATTGGTAAAAATATTTGTCTTCAACTGTAAAGAGCCTAGATTAAGATTAGTTATAATATGAACATTTTAGATTCATGTGATGGAAAAATGAAATGGATCAGGTTAGCTAAAATTAGAAAGGGTCTGATGTGTGAACCAAAGTTAATCATTTTGATAGCCAAGCCACATCGATATTTGTTTTTTTTTTGGAATAGCTGTAAACTGTTAGGGGTCATCCACGTTTTTTTAACGATATTTACCTCCCCTCTCTCCTACAAAAGCCAGACCCCATATAATGACGTCACACCTCAGCCAACAAATGCCCCCCCCCCCCCCCTCGAATTGAATTTTTTCCTAAAATATTGACTGAGGTCGACCAACATAGGGTATTTTATTCAATTTCTATTACAATGTTTTACAACAGTTTTCTAAAACGCGTAATAGCGGCTAAAATGCAGTTGCTTCTAACATTAATTTTTTAAAATACAAAAATATGACGTTACACTATCTTACGAGTGTGACGTTATTTATGGAAGACCCCTTATTAAAAAAAAAAAAAAAAAACAGTCTGTACGTATTTTTTCTTCCACAATCAAGACACGGTCATAGTCACGTTGAGTTTAGTATTTTTTTTAAATCTGTAGGCCAACGAAGCATACGTATTGACTGTGACGTCATTTTTTCCCCCCACAAGCAGTACTGAACACGTACTTGGGGTCAAGGTGAGGTCACAAGAGCCACCGTTGCTACGAGGTGGGGCGGGTTAGTCTTGTCCTCATAGTCACCTTTTGCAAGGATTTCAATATTAATTTGAGATTGCGAAATAAAATAGAATCAGAGAGAAACTGTAGATTTAGGTGGGTTAAAATACCGATAGATAAATTAGGCTATATCGATAGCTAGATTACCAGGCTTAAGAGATGTAAGTTGCATTTAAATAACTGAATTGTTTTAGGTTACCTTTTCCCGTGTTTTTAATAAATAGTTAACTGAAAATATCAGCGGAAAATTAGGGCTAAAACAAATTGTGCTTTGAAAAAGTCCGCCGAAATTCCGAATCTTAATCTACATTTAATCTTGATCTAGCACCGTCAGACCTAAGCGCAATCGACCAATCGAAAATAAATGCGCATATTCGAGTGTCCGTTTGACCTAAGAACAGTAGTTGTCGATTTAAATACGAATAAGTGGAACGAGCATGTCGGCCCTTTCCGTAGAAGACATTTCCGTTTTTTTTCCTAATTTTTAAAACTTCGTAAAAAATCGACAAAAATTGAAAGTCGGCGGAAAAATTCGGCAAAAATTAAATCAGCGGAGGAAAATCGCATCTGAAACGGAAAAATCGGATTTCCGCTAAAATTCGGAAAAGTCACATCCCTGGACATGATAAGATGACTGTAAAGGTGTGTGAGACATGATAAGATGACTGTAAAGGTGTGTGAGACATGATAAGATGACTGTAAAGGTGTGTAAGAAATAATAAGATGACTGTAAAGGTGTGTGGGACATGATAAGATGACTGTAAAGGTGTGTCAGACATGATGATAAGATGACTGTAAAGGTGTGTGAGACATGATAAGATGACTGTAAAGGTGTGTGAGACATGATAAGATGACTGTAAAGGTGTGTGAGACATGATAAGATGACTCTAAAGGTGTGTGAGACATGATACGATGACTGTAAAGGTGTGTGAGACATGATAAGATGACTGTAAAGGTGTGTGGGACATGATGATAAGATGACTGTAAAGGTGTGTGAGACATGATAAGATGACTGTAAAGGTGTGTGAGACATGATGATAAGATGACTGTAAAGATGTGTGAGACATGATAAGATGACTGTAAAGGTGTGTGAGACATGATAAGATGACTCTAAAGGTGTGTGAGACATGATAAGATGACTGTAAAGGTGTGTGAGACATGATAAGATGACTGTAAAGGTGTGTGAGACATGATAAGATGACTGTAAAGGTGTGTGAGACATGATAAGATGACTGTAAAGGTGTGTGGGACATGATGATAAGATGACTGTAAAGGTGTGTGAGACATGATAAGATGACTGTAAAGGTGTGTGAGACATGATAAGATGACTGTAAAGGTGTGTGAGACATGATAAGATGACTGTAAAGGTGTGTGAGACATGATAAGATGACTGTAAAGGTGTGTGGGACATGATAAGATGACTGTAAAGGTGTGTGAGACATGATAAGATGACTGTAAAGGTGTGTGGGAAATGATAAGATGACTGTAAAGGTGTGTGAGACATGACAAGATGACTGTAAAGGTGTGTGAGACATGATAAGATGACTCTAAAGGTGTGTGCTAGTTCAACCTTTATTAGCCTATCAAGAAGTTCAGCCCCGTTTTTTACATTTTGATCTGGATGTGCCGTCAGCTATAACAGAAAAAGTAAATTGTTATGGATTTGACATTAGCTATAATGTAAAAAGTAATGGTTAATGCGGTTGACATTAGCTATAAACAATACAGATAAAAATTAAAAGTAAAATAAATGAACTGAGCTAAAATGTAAGAATAAAGTTACTAAAAAACAGCACCTTGCTGAGGCCATCAAAAATTTCATTAAAGTGGGGCAACACAGCTCCTCTGGCCACTTTAACTATGTTGTAGAGAGCTTCACAGGCATAGTACTGAACCCGGCTGTCCCCATCATGAAAACATAAAACAACTGGCCTGACAAGATTGGTTATGTAATTACACGAGTCCTGAGGAATACAAGTCATAGCATTCAGAGATTTCATCCATGCATTAACACACAAGCCTAATGAACCCATCAATTCTATTGTTTCAGTTGCTAGCCCTTATGAACTGACCTTTCCTAATCCTATGGCCACAGCTGCTAGCCCAATAAGCCCACCCTTGCGAGTGTTAGGGTTCTGAGATGTGGCAAAGTCCTCCAGCACTTTCAGTAATTTTTTTATTTGCTCCAACTGGTTGGCAGTAGACAGCTCTTTGACAACTCTGGAAAGCAAAATAAAAAACATAAATTAAACTAGGTGGCCTTGTTATTTGTTGGATAAAATTCTGCCCACAGACCTATCCACTTGTTGTACCATTCATTTTTAAGTGTTTATACTAATTATTGCTGCTACTAAACGTTTACTCATTTAATAGGGCAGAAAAAAAGATTTTTTACTGCAAAAAAATGCATATTTGATCTTCACCTTTTATAATCTTCTAAAACAGACGTTTGGTGATTTTGTTGATAATGATAAATGGAACAATGTCTTAGGTGGGTTGTCGCTTGACCTACATTTTTTTACCATCATCATGGTAATGATGGCCGCCGAAAACGGCGATAAGGTGATTCTGTTTTTTTAACAATGTTTCGTGGCCATTTCAGAAATTTATACTCAAAATAGTTATTTTTGCGTATTATTCAACAATACCGGTATAGTTTTAACAATGGACGATTAGTGTTTGATGCTAACTTGCCATTTGTACATTTTTTGAGCAAATTGCTGAGAATATCTAGCAGAACATAATAAAAGTAAGAAAAACGTGAATTGCTTTATTTAATATTGTTCTAAACATACTGAAAATATATTCTAAATTATAGAAAAATTATAACTTGCTTTCTATTAAACTAATGTCATTCATGTTTTAAAAATCATGCAGGGTAAAATAAAACCTTTATAAAATAACTTGATTGAGACAAAAGCTAACTAAGCCTGCCCATTTTGCACGCCATGTATTTGAATGGGGATAAATCTAGCAGACAACACATTTCTGCTGAACGGCAGTGAACGATAAAAAACACTCCTTAAAAAACTAATCCAACATATCACTGAAAATCAGTCTAAACATCGTAGCCATTTAAAAACAAACGTGTTTTTTCACAAATCCTTTTCTATGCTACAGATTAAATCTGATAAATAAAATTGGTATTCGCCTCCGGTTGAGCATATATTGTATTATATAATAAACACAACCGAAACACATAAAAACGTTAGGAAAACACTAGGATTAGAGCTAGATCTACTTAATTTTTAAAAAATATGAGTTTTAATTAGAAATGGTAAAAAAACCTAAAAAGGCATTAGGACAGTTCCAATAAAATACTGTGTGCTCGTCAGCGGGAGAAAAATCCATACACGGTCGAGGATTCACTGAGAGTTCATATTGCAATAGTGAGTTTTGTACTTCACCCATTTCCATGAAAATATTAACTGACACACTAACATAGATCGTTCAATATTCCTAATTTGGATTTTTCTCAAGTATTGACAAAAGTAAATTATCAAAACTAAAACAAAACTTCATAAAGAAATAAGCCCAAAGTTTTCCTACCGTTTTTGTGTGTTTCTGTTGTGTTTATAATAAAATACGCTCAACTGGACGTGAAAATGAAGCGGGGAATAAAATACGTTAAAAAGGAGTTTTATCCAGTAAATAAGGTATAGATCTAAGTACTTTTAGTACAGTCAGTAACATAATAAAATAATAATGTTTACGAAAATCAACAGACATATTAAAAGAATTTCTAACGCTAGTTCTATATTGACTATATTGTGAGATTACTTTGCTCTTACGTCACAGTCTTTTACACTTAGATTTCTAGTATTTAACTGAATTTTGATTCTACTCCTTCCCTACCTTTCAATTTCTAAGGCAGCACTTTTTCGTTTTTCATATAGCTTATCTACTAGAGCTCGTACACAAGATGCTGTTAGAGGGGCGTGTTCCTTGTCAGTCATGTTTACAAACGAAAGAGTATGTCTAATAACGGAATAATTAGTCAATTTTCTCTTAGCAGTTTCTGTTATGATTTCCTTAACATCTAGATATCTAGATCTATATCTACTATCTTCTCGGCCTATTCATTTTTAATTTATAATGATGTAAACCGCCATTTTGTCTAAATCACGTGAGAAGTCTAGCGGGGAGTAATGAAAAAAATAATTAAAAATTTGAGAGTCTATTACATTTAGTGAAATATTACTCCAAAATAATGTACAATATATAAAATTGCTTACTATTTTAAAGGTATAAAATATAAGGAATAAAGCTTAATATACCACGAAAAGCGAATAATAAAGCGAAAATCATATTCATCTAAAAATTATAATTACTGCTTCCGTGTTTGTAAAATCAATCGATGCATTATAAATAAAATTATCTATTAGATTTAGATTCTATCTAGATCTAGATATCTAGTTAGATTGGAACATTAGCACTAGAATCTAGACGCTCTATCACATTACCATTTCTGGACTCTAGATTTAGATCTAGATCTAGAGTCTAGATATAATTATAATAGGCCTATTAAATTACTATTAGTCTACTATTATTAGGCCTAAGGCCTAAAATTATTAATATTTTTCTCTCTTGTGTCAAATTTTAAATAACCATTTCATTAGATCTAGATCTAGTAATGGTCCATTACCATAACTTAACTTTAAAACTTTGGCTTTGGCCATAGATACTAGATTCTAGACTAGATCTAGATAGAATTAGATAGACTCTAGTTACTCTAGTAATACTAGATCTACTATATAGATCTAGATCTAATACTATGTATAATATGACTACTAAACTAATCTATACTAAAATACTGGATCGAAATAGATCTAGAGTCTAGTAATATTACTAAAAAATAGTCAGTTAGACTAATGAATATCTAGCTTCTAGATCTTTAGTTAATCGGTAATCTATCGTTTTAGGTATGTAAAATTGGCCGAGACTAGTAGTGTGAAAAAAAGGTGGCTCATTAAATTTTAGACATTATTTCACATTTTTAGGAGGATTTATTCATTTATGCTTTCAAAATTACAAAAATGGGTAAAATCGTGATATCGCGTTGGAAATTATTTGGTAATGTTTGTTGAGTTTAGGTAACATTCTTTAATGTAAACCATAGTTTATTTGACTGTTTAAATAAAAATGGAGTCAAGTGCATTAAATTAATGTTTTAAATAATTTAAAGTTTAATTGTTTGTGTGTGTCTGAGTTGGTGAAAATTTCATATATAAGTATTATATCAAAATCGTAGATCCGTATCAACTTTTGAGCGATTTCCGATAACCGGAAGCAGAACTTTTTCACTTTCAATTTTTCAAATGCCTATAACTTGAGTACTATTTCAGATAGATAAATGTAATTTCACATGTAAGTAAAAGATCTAATTCTCTGTCTTCTATCAAATTTTGAGTAATTTCCGTTGACCAGAAGTAGTAATTTACCCTATTTCTGATTTCTCAAAAGAACGCATGTGAATTTATAAAGTACTAATAATATTCTGCACTATTATGCACATTTTATTTGACGTTCACTTGGTGTGCAATTCTTTTTTCTACAAGATTTTATTCTATTTTAAAAAGTTTAAGTATTTAAAATGGATTAAAAATCATGTCTATATCCTGAGTTGCCATCCCCTGTTGTTGATATAAGAATATATGAGAAAGTGTAGAGGAGATCGCTCCCGGTTTATTTTGGTAAAATTATTGTTAGAGATTCAGGGGAAACCACTCTAACTTACAGATGGCCACTGTTTATATAGCAAATCTTGCCCGCAAACACTGCTGTTTTAAGTTAATTTCTGGCCTATATTGATATATTTAGCCGTTGATTTTGGTTTATCATTCATTTATCTCTAGTATTTGACACAAATATATTGCAATATACTTCTATTAAAGCCTTAATAATGAGGCAACTTTTTTGCATCTATACTTGCCTCAGCCAATTTTACGCACCTAAAACGATAGATTACAGAATAATCTAATACTAATAGTATTAAAGGCTAATGCCACTAATTTCACTAATAGAATAGTAGGCCCTAATACTTAATAAGTTTAAATAATTGGTAATCTATCATTAAATTTGAGTGATTCTTTCACATTTTTAGAAAGATTTAGAATCTAGATCTATGTTTTGAAAGTTACAAATATGTTTCACAGTTCCATTTATGTACCTGTTTTTAAACAATAGATAGTATTAAAACTTTTCAGTAGACCTAACAAATCTATATGTATATCATTCTCTTCATGGGGACCATGCAGGACGTATATTATACTCCCCCGCTCTCCAGGCAAATCGCTACCAACCCCACCAATCTGGTGAACAAATGTTTACAATCGTAGAGCCGGGTTAGTGGTGTTAGTGACGGCTATTAGGGGCAGATAATTTAGAAACGATTTGAAACAAAGGGGAGGTAACAATTTCTGATTGATCTTTTCATTGTCTGTGAATGTCTGCTTCCACGTGGTGGGGGGGGGGGGGGGGGGTGGGATAGTGTTGTATTCACAAACTAATTATGAACTGCTGATAAGCAGAAAATTAAACAACCAGATGGCGGCTACGTCACGGGTCAGCTCTTATTTAATAATAAGATTAGCGATGTTTTCATCGGATGCAACCAATGATCATTTACCTTAGCAGCCATCTTGTTTAAGTTTTTTGGTAACATTTTAGCTAGAAATTCAAAGGAAAGCACTCTAATTTACAGATGGTAGCTGTTTATATAGCAAATCTTACTAGCAAACAAGGCTGTTGAAGGTTAATTTCTGGCCTATAAACTATACTATATTGATATATTTAGACATTGCTTTTGGTTTATTATTCAATAATCTGTTATATTTGACACAAGTATATAACAATGTTATATACTTGCACATTACTAGCCTCTGCCGATTTTATGTACCTAAAACGATAGATTACCAAAAAATTACTATAGATGATAGTAGGGCCTATACAATACACTGTAACACTAACAGTCATATACACTGTCTATCTCTATCTATACTCTATATAGTCTCCATACCATAGTCTATAGGATTGGCCCTACTCTATACTAATTTAATATTCTTAGACCTACAGTGAGTTCATTGTATGTAGAGTAGAAGAGTGTATATATTTTTTATTGTATGAATAAATAAAGAAAAAGTAGTAGGCATAGATCTAGGTAGACTAGTACTAAAACTAAAATACTAAAATAGGCCTATAGTATAGTAAAAGTATCATTAGGCTATAGGCGTAAATACTATAATTCTGTCTAGATCTAGTAGGCCTAATATTATATTATATAGATGTAGCATAATGTAGTTAGTATTATTTAATATTTATGTAGTAGTTACTCTAGCTAGGTGTTACAAAATAAATTACCAGCAGCATTTCGATGCCATGATTAGTGGCTCTTCATCAGAATTAATCATTAGATCTAATTTATTAAGTAACATTAATGAACATGAAATTAAAGAAGGCAAAAGTATGCTAGTAGATGGTGAATTTGACAATGACAATACAGTTAGTGAAGAATTATCCAGATTCAGTTCTCCCTCTCACAGTCAAAGCTCTTCATGCACTAGCATTACAAACCCTTTTTATGATGGACCACCTAATTTAAATGAAGGAACTAACTCTCATTTATCCTACATCACTAATGCTGCAACTACTGACAAAATGGCACATGGAAATAAAAAACCTACTGGTTCTACATCCCATGACAAAATAAATGCAGGTGAAGGGACATCAACAACAGTGCAAAGTTCACATACTAATAGAGTGAAACCTGTAGAATCTGAGGAGAAAGTTTTACAAAGAGTTATTATAACCTGGGACTTAAGCTATTTAGTGACATGTCAAGGTTTCATACAATTTGTACAATTGGTAAGCATGATCTATACATCCCTTAAGGGGCTGTCATTACTGTCAACAAATAACATTCTCTTTGGGGAAGGGGAGTGTTAAATGTTTTAACAGACACGAGTTTCATTTATAAAATATTTTTTGTATATTGTTAAAAAATTAATAAAAATGAATAATATACTATCTGCAAATTTTGGGGCAGCGGCCAGGCCATAGATAGTGTATATAATATATGTATATGTGTGTATATATATGTATATATAGCCTATAGATAGGCCCTACACATACATATATATATATATATATATATATATATATATATATATATATATATATATGTGTTACAGTCAAAGCCGGAAGTGTGGCCAAAGCACGCATTGGCCGGCCAATGTGTGCATGCTCTCTTGGCCAAAGCCCGAAGAGCTTAGCACTGAGAACGTATTTCGTACATTGGCCGGCACTGGCCTGGGCGTACTGGCCAAAGTCTGAAGCGCTTAAACTTGACAGCGTATTTCGTACAATGGCCAATGTCCTATCTAGACTAAGTAGTGATCGCGTTTTTATTATTCTTGGTGCGGTTTCATTGTTTGGCTCTTGTTTGTATAGCATTCTATATGCAATGCGACATGGACCGAAAGGGCCATCAGACCAAGAGACAGACATATCAGATGGCTGCCAAAATATTTCTGAACTAAAGAACATGTAGCCTGGACTTAAACTAGTTCACAGAAAACCAAGGCATAGCCAAAGCCAAGGTTTAGTTGGACGTGCCAACCAAGATGTTCAACACATGATGATGACATGGATGCAGACACATGAATCAGCTAAATGGGCTGAGAGTCTCATATTCACTCAATTTATGAAAAACCTTTCTTTTCATCAAGGAATCCAACAATTGTCAAGCAAAGCAAAAGTGGGACTTAGAACTTTAAATCTACCAAGAGAGGCTCTCGATAATTTAGTTACTGAGCAAGATCTTCAGAACATTGAACAAGAAATGGATGTTGCCATAAATGCAATGACATCCTCAGCTAACATATATGCTGCTGTGGCGGAATGTCCAGACCAGTTGCGTGACAATAATAAGGCCAACAAATGTGTAGTATGTGAAAAAGATTGTAGTGCAGCCCATTCTTGTGGATCCTGTGGCAATATGCGGAATAGCCAGTGAAGCAGGGTACGGAGGGAACATAACTTGCAGATTATGTCACAATAAACAAGAAATCATGGACAACAGGTCAACAGCTCATACTAGCTTGCAAACTCAAGGTGCTAAGATGCTAACAAAATTAGATACAAATTTTAAACAAGCTGAAGTAGGAGATAATGTTCACATCGTATACCACATGTTGACAGAGGTCGCAGTGATCCTCGAAGCGTTATTGCCGTCATGAGCGTCGAGGGCACTTTCTACAAGCTAGTACCGGAACATGGTATTCTAAAACAATGCTCGTCCATGATCATGATCCTTGGGGTATAAAAAAAAACACCCAAAGTCTGCTCATGATCTCTTAATGCGGACTTCTAATTCGGACTGGCCGGCGAAACGCCGAAATCAAGGTCCATTTCAGACTTTGGCCGGTCCACCACGGCCAGTCCGCAGATAGACCGGCCAAAGGCTGAAATCAAGTAAAGTTTCGGACTTTGAACGGTCAATGGGAGGCAATATTGGCCAATGCACATTGGCCGGCCAATGTTGGCTTTGGCCAACTTCATGCTTTGACCGTAACGCATTCACAATCGTTAATTGTGGTCATTCCATAAAATGATGATTTCTTATATTCTCAAGATAAAGCTATCTTAGTCACCAATAGTCACCATAGGTCAAGTATTTTTTTTTATTGATTACTAGGGTTAGTCTATTATGCTGCTTGCAAGTGAGAGCTAATTCACAATGTTGACCCTACCAACTGAATAACATTCAGTTGTTGTGCAGTTTTAAAGAGGCATTAAACATCAACTTACTTTTCAGAATATGGCAGCTGTTTTTTTTTTACTCCAAAATCAACCCATTTTATTGTCATAAGCAAACGTTGTCCGGACTATTTATTTTAGGGGGTGTCGGCTTTATGTAAACAATGTCAGGGGTAGAGATGATGACTGGTATTTATACTTAAGTGTGTACTCGTGTTTGATATTTTGAAAAAAAATTAAAATGAGATTGTGATTCAAATATTAAACCATTGTTTTTATATTAAAAAACACAACTATTTCGCTTTAAAGTGAAATTCACTATCATTGTTAAGGAAATTTGGGGGCCCCTAAAAATCGGGGGCCCCTGACTGCAGTCCCCTCAGCCCCCCCCCCCCCCTAATTCGCCACTGTGTTCCGTACACATATTAAAATACAGATTTAAAATATTCATAGAATATTTTTGGTCATATATAGTGTTGACTTTTTAAAAAAAAAAAATTTAAAAAACCTTTACAATAAAAAACTTTTAAATGCACTGAAAAAAAGGAAAATAAAAACATCTTAAAGAACCCATAAGCAACTAATGCTTTTGAGTTTAGGATGTTATTGTTATGCCTACTTTTACAACGTCAACAGAATTCACATATGGGGTCATTGTGTTATTTGTGGATCAAATGATTTTGACCCCAATATATAAAAATTCCTGACCACATGCCTAATATAAATAATAAATTAAAACTGGGGAGTGGATGTTGTATATTTAGATGATTGTAAAGGATGACTACAGATATAACTGAATCTTTTGTGCTTAGGTGATGACCATGACAGCTCTGGTTTGCCTGGTCAGTGCAGGAGAAAAAGATGGTGGACTTCTAAACCTGCCTCTCAGCTGGCACTTCAGAATTATGATATTTGTGCTTGTCCTTACTCTGCTTGTCACTGTTGCATTGCTCTTTGGAAACATCACATCTCTCGTTGCCATATTTGGGTTTGAATGGACTTTTTTTGTAAGTTTAAATCCTAATCAATCTATAACCATTAACGATATAATGTAGGTACGGATATTATTCAAGACAGAGTTAGGGATAAGGACAGAGTTTGGGATAGAAGTAGAGATATGATTAGTGTTGCGGTTAAGGTTAGGATTATGATAAAGGATGTGGAATTAGATATAGATGTGAATATGGATGTTGATAGGGTTAGAGGTAAGGATAGGGATAAGGGTATGTATAAGGATAGTAAGTAAATTATACTATGTAATATGGGATAGGGACAGGGTGATATAAGAATAGGGATATGGTTATTGTTAGTGTAAACAATTAAGAATAGTATTAGGGATAGAGAGACAGATTTGAAGATGGATAGAAACAGGTTATAATATATGTATTATTAAGTAGTGTATTTATGCGGGTGGGGGCTAAAAGTATTGACCCTGGGATTAATACTGGGTGAGAATGACTGAGGCAGGGGAAATTAGCCTTAGCGGAGGTATGTCCAGTTAAAACATGTCTCATTTCTGTTAATCTCTAGATTGAATTTCAGTTGTATACTTGTATGAAATATTTTAGACTGAGTTTGGTTTTAATTTTTTAGGAGATCATGTACATATTATATTAAGCTTAATGGGTACTTTTGCTTTTTATGGTAGGTATAGATTATGATGTGGGGGTGCAATGTTCTGTTACACATTGCAATTGTTTATTTTAAAAGTATAAAAAGCTATTAACTCTTACATGATGCTATTCCGTTAAAGATTGGAAATTGTGTTTAGGGTAAGTAGTGGCATATTGTATGATATTTACAGACATGCCTGCCATCCTGCCAACATTGGAAATTTTCCACTAAATTTCAAATAATCCCACCATTCCAATTTTGTTTTTTCTGCTAAATAAAAAATTAAGCCATTATATACGGTAAAAAGATTTATAAAACAAATTGAAAAAAGAGAAGAGAAAATGCAATTACCTCCCTTTTGCATTTGTTTCTTTCAATGTTTATTTCTAACAAGGAGGAAAATATTAACACACTAACTAAAATAACTAAAATGTTACAAGGATGTTGTTCATGTGACCTACTACTAGCTAGTCCATACACATTGAGAAACGCATGAATTTAGAATGCTAATCAAAGAATCTGAAATAGTTTGACAAATTATTCCTGGTGTATTTTTAGATGTCGTCCACACATATCACTAGTGTTGAAATAACAGACGCATAATGCATTGAAAAATGCAGACCTTCATTGTCCATAAATCATACGCGGCAAGGGTGAGGTAGAAGGTCCCTTGTTGACCGCCCGGGCAGCGTGGTGTGCTGCCTGAGCCATTGATGCAGGGTGCAACACATAGTTCGTTTTAGTCATTGAATGTTTTAGCCCATGCCACTAGTATAGAGTGATTTAGCCCATGCCACTAGCATAGAGTGATCTTAAAAACCAATGTAGGTCTCATATTGCTAATGGCTATTATAATTTACTACCTAGCTAAAACGGGGTATCATAATGTCAATTTTCATGGGGGGGGGGGGGGGGGGGGGGGGAGACTGACAGTGGAAATCCCCTGCCTATGTAACTATGCAACTGCTTAAAATTTTGTAAAATCCATTAAAATTAATTTTTCAAATAAAAAAGAAAAAAATGTAGAAAATAACAAGCTTTTAAATATGCACTAAAAAGAAATATAATTTTATTTAGATAATAATGTACCACTATCTATATCTATCTATCTATCTATACATATATATATATATATATATATATATATATATATATATATATATATATATATATATATATATATATATATATATATATATATATATATCTCTCTCTCTATATATATATATATATATATAAAGCAATGTGTGTGTGTGTGTCTGTTTATTTGTCTGTCTCTTATGCATTACCTACACATCGCCGTGAAACTTCGGGAAGCTGTTGAGACTATTTCTGGGGAGGTTTCTGCAAAAAAAAAATGTTCCTATTCACAGGGGTGGCAATTTGTTTTTCCTCTATATACGGTACATAAAAATAAAAGTCGATTGCGGTTTGACACCATTCATACGATCACCATCAAACTTTGGGGAGTTGACTAAACCTTTCCAGGTGAGGTTTCTGTAAAAATATTTTTAATTTCGCAAGCGTGGCGCAACAGGAAGGTGCAGTATGTGATTTAGCGCCTTTGTCTTTCCCGCGAGCGCCATGGCAACTACCTTCGGTCTAAAAAATGTGATAGACAATGGATAAGATGGGGCGCTATATATAAATATAAATAAATATATATATATATATATATATATATATATATATATATATATATATATATATATATATATATATATATATATATATAATAAAAGCAGCCAGTTAGTGTGTCAGTCATTCATCGCTATAGAATCATAAAGTAAACAACAACACATGCCTTGGTTTTTACTTGCTTCACAGTGTCTTATTATTAGTAACGGAGCAGGGTCTATTAATGTAAAGACTTCAATTTTTTGATAGTTTTAGTAATAGTGGGTAAAGAAAAATAATTGATCAAAATGAGGTATTAAAAATGAATTCAACTCATGCTAAATATTGCTATTTAATAAAAAAAAAAATGTGAATGCAAATTGCCTGGAGGTCGGTGAGAGCATTATTATTGAAATACATGACCATTTGTTTGATAAAGCGTTTGTGTTAGCGTTTGTTTTCTTTTGTGTATGCATTTTTGTTTGTAGTTGCGTTTGTCTTTGCGTGTTGAATTAGCGTTTGTGTTTGAATTTTGTTTGCGTTTGTGTTTGCATTTTATTTTGTATTTGCATTTGCATTTGGTTGTTTGGTTTGTGTTTTCTTTTGTTTTTGTGTTTGCGTGTTATGTTAGCATTTCTGTTTGCATTTTTGTTTGTGTTTTTTGTTTGCATTTGTGTTTTGTTTTTGTTCTGTTCCCCTGATGGTACTAGCTTACCTGTCTAGTGCAAAAGAAATATTTTAAGAGTATTACATCAGTGTGTTAATAATCAAGTATTTTTTGGATCATAGTTAATGGGACATAGTTTGTCCTTACTACTTTCCAGATGCCCCAGGGCATGCTGCATGAAAGCCTTGAGCATAGGGTAATGACAGTGACGTAGAACAAACCTCTGCATCAGGGGCATTGTGGGGGTGCTTACACTACAGCAGGGGTGCGTGGTATAGCCCCTAGTTTAGTTTAATCATCGTATGTCGGGTGCCACTGTGTCCTTATTGTAGGGTGCTCTTCAAAAGGAATGTATGTGCCACATCGCTTATGGGGAGAGCCTGGGGTGCTACAGGTCATCCCACTGCCCATGTGCCAGTGAACGCACCTGATTCAATGTAATCAATGGTTAGTGTAGCCTGGTACAGTTTTACCATTGATTCAAGTAGTGCCTCTGACCCCAATAAAGTTTCTTTTATAGTATTATTCCTAATAATGCAAAGCCTTTTTTTTTAATAGCAGTATGGGCAGCCAAATGGCATAGGGAATAGGCAAGCTCACATAGGGAGGCCCACTTTTTAAATGAATAAAGATGAATTTTCCATTTGTTCCAGGATATGATTGTTTACTCCTTATTTGCCTTCCTCTACCTGGTTGGATCTTCACTTGTTGCAAGTGCATTTGATTTTTATGAGAAAATGAAAACAGACGTTTCTAAAGAAACCATCAGCCAGCTGGTCACATCAGTGGTAGGACTCTTTAACTTTAACATACATTCACGCTCTTCGTCTTTTGTTAAGTGTAACAATCATTACACAGCATGCTAGCCAACGACTGCTAACCTAAAGATCGAATCCCTGTGAATTGTAACATCCACTGTTCTTCTAGCACTAATCCTATGGTCAAAGCACCTGGGGTCAAAGCACCTGTGGCCTAAACTCTATGTATCAGTAAAAGATTTAGATTTAGTAGGATTAGGGAGAGGGTCATGATATATCACAGCTGTAAATCTGAAGTGGTGTTCATTGCAGGCTTTGACTGTGATCTCATTTATAGTCTGTATTTGAATTAAATGTAATGTGTTAAATCATCCTTTTTGTTTTCAATTATTGGATATCTGATATTTTTTTAATCATCACTTCTATGGAATACTTGGGTACATCCTGATTTCCTAACTAGTTGCTATTCTAGCCAATAGATTTTGACTCTGGTTTATTAAACCAGAGGGGGCTTCAAACTTGTTCTTAATTTCACAGTTGAATGATTTCTGTTTCTCTCTGCTCTTCGGGTATTGAATGTTAAATTTGTGATGTGGTCTACTTGCTATGTCATTGAATGAATTCAGCTTGGTCGTAAATGTTGCAACCAGCAGTTGGTGATCTGAAGCTATATCTACTCCTTGTTTTACTCTCACATCCAAGAGGTTTCCCCACTTTCTAGAATTGTCATGTGATCAATCTGATGTGAGTTTTCCCATCAGAAGAGGTCAAGATAGTGGGTGGCCTTGTGTTGGAATAATCTTCCACAAATGACAAGGTCGTGTACGAAGGGTTCATTCTTTAAATGTGTGAAGTGAATGTTGCATACATTCAGGTCTCCAATGATGTCACTTCAAGCTGTGCTGTGGAGAATGGCCCGCAAGACATTATAGAATTCTTCTTCTCCTTTTACTGCATAACTTTGAATAACAGTTGTCTGACAGTATAGCCCTTTGCATTAAATATTGCTGTCAAGGTGATCTAGGTTTCCATGACAATTGCCTTTGGTGTCATTTTTAATGCTTCTCCTTATTTATGATTGTTTTGGGATCTTCATAAGTTATTTTATTTCCTGTGGACAGTCTGGCTTGGCCACTTCCCTTCAAGTAGGTTTACATAGGCAGAAAATCTTGTTAGGTCTCCTTACTGTTCAGGCAACTTGTCAATTTCATGTAGTTTGGATGTTCCAGCTTGTTATAATTGTATTTGATTTGGTTGTCAGAAAATTTGTCTCTGCACTGTCTTCTCAAAGGCTTTCAATAGCACATGCATAGAATCTTCCTAAGCACTCGTTGGTTTATGTTTTTTGCATTTATTATAGCAGGTTGCTGTTTTATGGGGTAGAATTCAGAGGCTGAACAACCTTGCCATCAGATCTCAGGAAGGGCAGGAGGAGGGCAAGCAAGCCATTCAGGGAACCCACTGAAAAAAAAAAAAAATTCAAAATTTATTTTTGTGCGTCTTTGCCCTGATAGTTCTTTATTCTACAGTCACTCAAGTTGTTTTGGTTGAATTATCTTTATTCTACAGTCACTAAAGTTGTTATGGTTGAATTATCTTTATTCTACAGTCACTCAAGTGGTTTTGGTTGAATTATCTTTATTCTACAGTCACTAAAGTTGTTCTGGTTGAATTATCTTTATTCTATAGTCACTAAAGTTATTTAGTTGAATTATCTTTATTCTACAGTCACTAAAGTTGTTCTGGTTGAATTATCTTTATTCTACAGTCACTAAAGTTGTTCTGGTTGAATTATCTTTATTCTACAGTCACTAAAGTTGTTTTGGTTGAATTATCTTTATTCTACAGTCACTAAAGTTGTTCTGGTTGAATTATCTTTATTCTACTGTCACTAAAGTTGTTTTGGTTGAATTATCTTTACTCTACAGTCACTAAAGTTGTTCTGGTTGAATTATCTTTATTCTACAGTCACTAAAGTTGTTTTGATTGAATTATCTTTATTCTACATTCACTAAAGTTGTTCTGGTTGAATTATCTTTATTCTACAGTCACTAAAGTTGTTCTGGTTGAATTATCTTTATTTTACAGTCACTAAAGTTGTTCTGGTTGAATTATCTATATTCTACAGTCACTAAAGTTGTTTTGGTTGAATTATCTTTATTCTACAGTCACTAAAGTTGTTCTGGTTGAATTATCTTTATTCTACAGTCACTAAAGTTGTTTTAGTTGAATTATCTTTATTCTACCGTCACTATAGTTGTTTTGGTTGAATTATCTTTATTCTACAGTCACTAAAGTTGTTCTGGTTGAATTAACTTTATTCTACAGTCACTAAAGTTGTTTTGGTTGAATTATCTTTATTCTACAGTCACTAAAGTTGTTCTGGTTGAATTATCTTTATTCTACAGTCACTAAAGTTGTTTTAGTTGAATTATCTTTATTCTACCGTCACTATAGTTGTTTTGGTTGAATTATCTTTATTCTACAGTCACTAAAGTTGTTCTGGTTGAATTAACTTTATTCTACAGTCACTAAAGTTGTTTTGGTTGAATTATCTTACACTTTGGTGTAATAACTGTGAGGCCAGAGGGGGTCCAAACTTATTAGGAACTAGACTACCCGTTATCTAGTTAGATAACTGTGGGTTTCGGGGGGTCATTCATAAATGACATCACGTCTGCCAGCACTTATCATCCCAAAATAACCAGACCCCACATTCAAAAAGACGTTTTTTTTTTAAAAAAAACTCTACTAAACTCTACTTCACCTGCCCAGTGCCCCGCCAAGTCTCAGACATGTTTGTATTTAAAAAAAAAACGATTCCGGCCGAGCATGGCTCTGACCACACTATCCTTTCATTTGCTGAAAACATAGAAACAGGTCAACTCTACTTCACCTGCCCTGTGCCCCGCGAGGTCCTGATAGTCAACTTTATCATTCACATATAAGCCTTAAGAAAAAATAAGTGAAAACATTGTTGTAAAACGAAATTGAATCTTTTTACTATTACTAAAGTCATTGTTCTAAACTTTTATAATTAATGTGGTTAATCTACCAATGAATATATCAATACATTAATTGACGGCTTTAAATTAGTTTGTAATTAACAGTGTGTTTAAGAAAGAACAATATTTACCACCCAAAATGTCTACACATAATGCAGATTCTCCCCAATAAATAAAAAAACAAACAAACAAACAAGTTAATAAAAAGTCTAGTGACTATTTAAGCGCAATTTCCTTATGTTATCTAAAAGTAGATAGTGATCACAAAGACGTATAATGCTGAGTGCGTTCAAGCTAGGAGAACGATCGGTTTGTAGGTGTTTATGTAATTTAAAAAAAATTGTGACCGAACGAAAGGATATTTTTGACAATTTTCTTCGGCAATATTGTTCTAAATTATGGCAGTAATCGATTGGTAAATGTTTCAAGTCGCTAAGTGCTCTGGTTGCCGAGATATGGGCCAAAAACTGCATTTTTAAAAGTTTTTTTGGCTTTTCCGGGAAATCCAGGAATGAATTCCAGGAATTTTTTTGGCCTATGTTCATCCTCGGAACTTGCTTAACATATTTGCTTTTGGAACTAGTCCTCGATATTGCTTCGTTGAGGAGGAGATACGACTTAAAGACAACTTAAAGCTGCGGACACACATCCATCCATCCATCCAGAAATGACGAGTTAATAATCGCAATCCCCCAGTATGGAAATTGCGCTAAAAAAATGAGTTATCAAACGTCACTATTCAGTCAAAGTTAAGCCATTGTTCTAAAACTTTAAAATTAATGTGGTTAATCTACCTATGAATAAATCAATAAATTAATTAGGCCTAACGTCTTTAAATAAATGTGTGATTAACAGTCTGTCTGAAAAGAAAAATTGTTCTCTACCTACATACTATTTTACAGCTCTTTATATAGAGTAGATTTTCTACAGTACGAAATCAGACAAACAAAAAAATAAATATTCAAGCATATAAACAAACTTGAGTTTTAGTAGTATATTAGACTACCCGTTATCTAGTTAGATAACTGGGTTTCGGGGGTCATCCATAAATGTCAGCACTTATCATCCCAAAATAACCAGACCCCACATTCAAAAAGACGTTTTTTATATTTTTAAAAACTCTACTAAACTCTACTTCACCTGCCCAGTGTCCCACCAAGTCTCAGACGTGTTTGAATTTTGTTGTTTGTTCTTGGTTGGACAAAGGCTATGGAAGCAAATCCAAAAAAGAAAAGCAGGCTGAAATCGGAGTCAATGGCCTCAATGGCGCATAACCAGTTGACACGTAACGCTTAATTGTGTTGGAGGCGTGGTCGAGTCGGCAAAAAGCTCATGGTTGATAAATTTGAACAAAGTCTCGAGTTCAAACCCACTGGCAGATAAATCTCGATCCCCTTCAACACTAATAATTAAGAACGAAGAAGAAATTTGAATTTAAAAAAAAAAAAAATGAGTTATCAAACGTCACTATTCAGTCAATAAATTAATTAACGTCTTTAAATAAATTTGTGATTAACAGTCTGTCTGAAAACAAAAATTGTTCTCTACCTACATACTATTTTACAGCTCTCCAAATAGAGTAGAACCATTTACAATAGTCAATCAGACAAATAAATATTCAATTCAAACATGTAAACAAACTTGAGTTTTAGTAGTATATAGAAAGAGAAGAAATAGGGGACATAAATATGCGCATATGTTTACTTGAAAATATTATTTCTACGTCATTTGTTTAAAGCATTATCATTAATCCTATCTTTGTTTTTTTTTTATTGTTTCTACAATAAAGTTGGTTGAATCCTTTTCCACGATCACTTACCTACATACCTGTTATAGGTTTTGGAAAAAATACAAAGACAGTGTATGTTATTTAACTTCTTGTCTATATTGTTTGTTGTTTTTAGGATCGGGAGGGTTTGGGATGGTGTAGCCAAAATCTAGAGTTAGACTGCCTTATTCAGCTAGCTCTGCTACTGTTGTTGGCCTCGACTAGCAGTGTATGTTTTAAGATTGGGTAGTGGTAAAATCATTTCTATTTTCCCACCCTACATGAACAACGGTGGATCAAAATATAGAGAATGGCCAGAATGTGTACTCTGCCTAGCTAGAGTTATTGAGACTGAGAAATGCCGACCTAGCTAGAGTTATTGAGACTGAGAAATGTCGGCCCATCTAGAGTTATTGAGACTGAGAAATGTCGGCCCATCTAGAGTTATTGAGACCACAAGTGATAACTAGATAGCCTAGATACACCTTTTGAAAACAGTGTGTAGTTAAACTAAACAAAATGTTGAAGATTTTGTTAATTTCGAATCAAGGTACAAGTATTAATTTTTGTAACAAGCACCAATGCATATAGGTTGTCTCTTTCTGTCTATATTCTATATAGATAAGGATCCAAAATTTCTTTTTTGCAGTGTAGCCTTTTGCCTCCTAGCATTGTCACTAATTTGTTTGCTAGCCGTCAGTGTTTCTTCCAGACTTTCTTCTCCGGGTGAGGGGGGGGGCACTTGAAATTTTCGAGGGGGGGGGGGGGAAGGGGGGTAGACTTTCTTCGGCGGGGGGGGGGGGGAGGACACTGTTAAAATTATATATTTTCTATATAAATTATATAAATTTCATTTCGTTTGAGGGGGGGGGGGTAGAATTTTTTCGGAGGAGCTTTGCTTTTTACATTTGATTTTATTGCTGCAACTAGCTTAAAGCATACATAAAGCAGTGTGCGACTTGTAGCATGTTTTCCTGCACTAATCTTCAGTCTTGTTCACATTTTAACTTCAGATTCTGGGCTACTTGTGTATGCTGCTACATGGTCTTACAGCATTTATCAGCTACAGGAAATGGAAAATTCAATATCGATTATATCAACGCCGAAAACTTATTGAAGAGGACGAAATTGATTTGTGAGGTACATGCTTCAGTTAGGTAGACATAAGTGTAGACATCTGAAAATCTGCAGAAAAGAATATATCAAATATGTTTATACATTTATATATACACATGCATACACACACACACACACACAAAAGATGACCCCTAACCTTTCTGGGTTTTACCCACCCTATATGAAGACATCTAACCTATAAGATGAACTAAACTTTTTTAGGGTTAGGATAAGTACAAAAAGGGAAGTTTGCTTTATATGCTGAAGGGTTAGGGTTAGGGTAAGTTCAAAAAGGGAACTTTACTTTAAATGCCGAAGGCCGTTTGCCCAAAACATGATGTTATGTATAATAAATTTGAAGTTGTAAATGCATTCATAAATGATATTCAGCATACAAAATCAGAAATGTGTTAATATTTTTACTTTGAACTTTTTTTTATTTTTTTTTATTGAGAAGTGGCTTGACAACAGAAGCATCTTTTACTTAATCAATAATTTAATAAATTAATCAATAAGGCAGGCATACAATGATCTCACTTTAAACTATTAATTAGACAAATGAAATGATCTGATCACTTTAACAAGTAAATCAAGTCCATTATATTTATTTAACATACCTAACAATTACCTAATTATTTTAATGATATGTGATAAAAATTTTCAACTGAAATGGTATTTACTCGATATGGTCAAAACCCTAAGTGCACATAATCACCTCCCATTGACCAGCCAATGTCCAAACTGTTTCTAGAATTTGGTTATTGGCCAGCCAGTTTGTCAACTTGTGTGAGGCTACTGGCCAAACGTTTGTATTAGAAGAACAGATTTTGGGTGCTGTATTCTGCTAAGATCATTAGTTGTATATGGACTATTGAAGAAAATGACAGAAACATTAAATTGTTTCATTTTGCAGTGGTAACTTGTGATACAAGTTTAATTCGTTCCGTAATTTTAATCGTACGTCAGTTGATATGAGGTTCCTGGTATCTCAAAGCAATTTTCTCCATTGAAATTAATTGAATTGCAATTAATCCACTCCATCATCCAAAATGACACCCCAGTTGTTCTTTATGTTTTTTTTTAATAAGAAACATTATATAAACAAATATTGTTCAAAAACATAATGTATGAAAATGCAAAGATATAAACTCTTTGAATAGAGTGTTTTAACTTGAAAGTAAGCCAACCGGAGTAAGACAAGGGAGGGGGGGGGGGGGATATAGGCCCAGTTTAGGATGTGTAGGCCCAGTGTAGAGTGGAGGTGTAGGCCCAGTGTAGAGTGGAGGTGTAGGCCCAGTGTAGGGTGGAGGTGCAGGTCCAGTGTAGAGTGGAGGTGGAGGTGTATGCCCAGTGTAGGGTGGTGGTGTAGGGTAGAGGTGTAGGCCCAGTGTAGGGTGGAGTTGTAGGCCCAGTGTAGGGTGGTGGTGTAGGGTGGAGGTGTAGGCCCAGTGTAGGGTGGTGGTGTAGGCCCAGTGTCGGGTGGAGGTGTAGGCCCAGTGTCGGGTGGAGTTGTAGGCCCAGTGTAGGGTGGTGGTGTAGGGTGGAGGTGTAGGCCCAGTGTAGGGTGGTGGTGTAGGCCCAGTGTCGGGTGGAGGTGTAGGCCCAGTGTAGAGTGGAGGTGTAGGGTAGAGGTGCAGGCCCAGTGTAAGGTGGTGGTGTAGGCCCAGTGTCGGGTGGAGGTGTAGGCCCAGTGTAGGGTGGTGGTGTAGGCCCAGTGTAGAGTGGAGGTGTAGGGTAGAGGTGCAGGCCCAGTGTAAGGTGGTGGTGTAGGCCCAGTGTAGGGTGGTGGTGTAGGCCCAGTGTAGGGTGGTGATGTAGGCCCAGTGTAGGGTGGTGGTGTAGGCCCAGTGTAGAGTGGAGGTGTAGGGTAGAGGTGCAGGCCCAGTGTAAGGTGGTGGTGTAGGCCCAGTGTCGGGTGGAGGTGTAGGCCCAGTGTAGGGTGGAGGTGTAGGCATAGTGTTGGGTGGAATTGTAGGCCCAGTGTAGGGTGGAGGTGTAGGGTGGAGGTGTAGGCCCAGTGTCGGGTGGTGGTGTAGGCCCAGTGTCGGGTGGAGGTGTAGGCCCAGTGTAGGGTGGAGGTGTAGGCATAGTGTTGGGTGGAGGTGTAGGCCCAGTGTAGGGTGGAGGTGTAGGGTGGAGGTGTAGGCCCAGTGTCGGGTGGAGGTGTAGGCCCAGTGTAGAGTGGAGTTGTAGGGTGGAGGTGTAGGCATAGTGTTGGGTGGAAGTGTAGGCCCAGTGTTGGTGTAGGGCGGAGTTGCAGGCCCTGTATAGGGTTGAGGTGTAGACCCATTGTAGGGTGGAGGTGTAGGGTATAGGTGTAGGGTGGAGATGCAGGGCCAGTGTAGGGAGTAGGTGTAGGGTGGAGGTGTAGGCCCAATGTATGGTGGAGTTGTAGGCCCAGTGTAGGGTGAAGGAGGTTTGTTCTTTCTGTATGTTTCAAAAATTAGTCAAGTGTTATAAAATAGCTTTGATGTACATATTGTTGCAACTTTTTCATTGTGGATTTTTTCCATTTCTGTTTAAATTTGTTTATTCAGCCAAGCTTATCTCAAATATTAGATTTTTTCTGGTATGGCAAAGCAAATTTTAGCTTCTTCTACAGCTTGTATCCCAAAATTCTCATATGTTGAGGCACTTGCATGTTGATGGTACCATTGTATCACCTTTTTAATCTATATTTTAACTTTTTACAACAAGATAAATTTTTATGTCATTTTAGAATTACAAAGTAGCTTGTTGTTTTTACTTTTGCAGCAATTTGTTGAGCACTTGGCCGTGTAATTGCAGTGAGTGTAGCCTTGGCCAGCAGTCAGTGATTGTGAAGATGGTTCGTACTGATTTGTTCCTCAGTGCTGATG